GAATAATAATTGCAAATTTTACTGCTACTGCTATTATTAATATATTGACATTGCCATCCTTACTAACAATTGAACAAGAAAAAGTTAACAATTAATTGAATCATTAAATAATTCGTATATATAATGAATAATGTACACAAGTAAATGTATTGTGATAAAACAGTTACTTTTGAGAAGTTATGAATGGATCGTTGAGATAAGAAGTTTACACTTATCCTGTAAAATACTTAAATCACAATTTTCTTAAAGAAAATTCTCGATATAGTTATTATTTTTTGTTGAAAAAAGTTCATTATTTCAAGTAATTGTAAAACAAATTTCTATAAAGTTTAAATTAATTTTAGTCGAAATGTGAGACAAAAACTACATTACTCTTTTTACTAAATTCCTCGGAAATTATTTGTGAAAAAACAGACAATTACAGTTTTATCGTAAAATCTCTATGGCTTGAAAAATAAGTTTAAAGAATAAAGATTTCGGAATGAAAGATTTCCATTTATTGTATTAAGCATTTATCGATACTTCTTCGTTAATAGTAGAAATGTGAAGAAATCGATGACATTTAATTTATGCAATTAGCACGATGGAAAGGCTTCGTCATGCTACAAATGTGCCAAAATCTTACATTGGCCAGAATAATACAAAAAATTTTGACAATAATTAAAAAAATTGCTTATGCGAATAAAGAAACAAAAATTTATCAAAAGTCGGTGGACATTAGATTGGCCACTAATCATACAAAATTTTTTCTCTAAGTTCTCGAGTCTAAAAAATTTCCTATTTATTTGGTAATTTCAATCAAGAGTACCAATAGGGCACTAGTGCTTGCGAAATGAAACGCCCCCACTAAAGTACTTGACTAACGTCATTATCGCCTCATTAAGGTAAAACCACATTCGCAGAAATATCACCGAGATAAGGAGCCATGCACTGGAGGAAGTAGCAAGCGTTGAAAATGAAGTAGACAGTGGTTAGAGGTTCGTGTGGGGCAGTCGCTGAGCGAGAGAAAAGACAATTGACTCGGGCCGCGCACATCCGCCGAGATCATTCCCAAAGTCTCCATCGCACGCGTCATCGTCGAGACCGTGGACGCAAGGACGTCGCTGTCCCGGACTTTTATCCAAGTCCGTACTGGTTCATTTTGCCCGACTTTAATAACCTTTGTCTTTTATTTAATATCTCGTAGCATAAGTGTCCGCTTATGCATCAACAATTGTCGTAAAATTGCGTCCTCTCGTTGGTGACTGATAAAATATTGGTGCTTTATAAAGTAATTATCTTGATGAAATAGTGGCTTAAAATGGCGATAAATCTCGGGAAGAGACTTTTTTCATTATATTTAAAATATTTAGTTTACCCATCGACTGTCTACTAATATTCTACTAAAACACCTACTACTATTAGTCGTTAATAAATATCATAAATGCATGCAAATTTCGAAAAAGTGAAGCAATTTTGTTCCATAAACAAGAAAAAGTATTTTCTTTTACATTTATATCTGATATTGTTGTTGTTAATAACTTGAATCTGTGTATACCGAGTCAATTGTCCCTTACTTGATACTTCAGACCTGTGAAATTTGAACAAATCACTCATCTAACACGCCACATTTTAATAAAATGGTTACTTATTACTTATTAAATTGCAAAAGGAAATTACTGCTTATACTGTAAAATGGAAGAGATCACACTATCTCGACCACTTAATAACGAATAAAGCAAACAAATAAACTTTTAACAAACATTAAATTAATTTCCAATAGGGTAAGATTTTATTATAAAATTATTTCAATATCTACATTAGTTAAATATGAAATATGCATGATAATTAATAATAAATAGCCTATTTATCGAAGGTTCATAAGAACTAAACATGTCAGTGAAGTATAAATTAAAATCTATAATAATAATAATAATAATAATAATAATAATAATAATAATATACCGTTAAGACTTTTATTAAAAAATAGGCTTTAGACTAATTTTTAATATAAGGTTTAAAAATTATGTGGAAAAGTGTTATATTAATATGAATTGATATTGTGAATGTTATATTTTTATGAATAACAAAATCTCGATGAAATATAATTTATTTCTATTTCATTAAAATATTTTCTTTTAAAGTAAATTATTTTAACTCTATCTTGGGTAATTAAAATTCATAATCGCAAATGGTAATATAAGTACATTATATATTCAATAAATACCATAATTAAATAATATTAAAATATATTGCTTAGTTTTACTATATTTATAGGCTATGAATAGAAATAAAGACGAATGACATAACAATAATAAATTAATGATATTTTCGAGGGTTTTTACCTATAATGTAACAAATACAATTCTTATTTGAATTTCAACTAATATACATGAACAATAATGTATAATAATATAATATAGTTATATTATAAATACTTATAAATTAAATATCATAAAGTTTCAGCTTTTTAGAATTACATATATATAAATTAGTAAAATTTCACACTAACATAATAGAAAATGAATAAATAGAAAGAAACGTAAATCACAAAAAAATAAAAAAAATAAAATAAAATAAATAATAATAATGTAAATACATATGTAAAATAATATCATCTAGAAAAGTAATTTTAAAAAACTATCCATTCTTACAAAATAGTTATACAAATAATCATTCCAAATACCTTAGATAATATCTTCAAGGATAATATTAAGATATATTTTATAATGGCTACATTTTAGAAGCATTAATTGGTCTAAACAATCGGTCGATACTCGATTCGTCTTCGGTGCAAACGATTGGTGAACATGAGATATAACTTAGTAACGGTTCAGAGTATATGCTACTTGGAATGTGATTTGGTGATTAATTAGATAAGCCAATTTTTAAATAGAATTGATTACACTCTCAATCCATAAGAAGAAAAATTTATCGTAATTAAATCGGTTTTAAAGACTTGACTGGCTTCCAATTTAGATCATTCCATGCAACAATTATTAATAATTACAATCATATAAAATTATATTATTGTATTAAATTTTATTATTATATAAGCTTACTAAATTTGCGGAAACGCGTTGTATTGAAAACACAAATTTTTATTATTAAGAGCTCTAATTTATATTGAAGCTTATTATATATTTCTCACTTGTGTTTGATTACCACACGCTACAATTATTGATTAGTACATAAAAAAGTATTGTAATATTTGATGCTCCGGTGCTCAGGATGTCGTTAATGTCGGCAAGACGAAGTTACAAGTGGCTTGCCGGGTTTCTAATCGCAGTAGTGCGCGTGCACGGTCTTTTGAAAACTCGCGGGCGGGGGGTGTCGCTTCGCATCCGCACACGTGGTCGGAATGTAATGCACGTTGCAGCCGACAAAACCAAGCTCATCATCTCTTCTTTTTTCCCTTCTGTTCTACCTCTCGCTTTCGATTGCTCCCTCTCCCTCTCTCTCTCTCTCTCTCTCTCTCTCGCTCTACCTACTTATGCACCTTTCTCTTTTTACAAATTCTCTTTATTATTCTAGAGTGCTTCGCGGCACGCGACTCAATGCTCAGCTGACGCATCTACTATTATAATACGCACGTGCATTCTAATGCAATAACATTTGAGAGACGCGGAAGAATTGATACGCTGTTAGTGATAAAATAAAAAAAAAACAGCCTTTTTAAACGCAATGCTCGATGTTTCACCGAAACATACGTCCCAATCCTACCTATAACGAAGTTTCTTTAACCATTGTATACATTAAATACAGTTAGGAATACTATTATATAAAGTGTTTCTTTTTACAATGAAGTAAACATTATTCATTAAAGACTCGCTATTTAAAAGGAAAAAGAGAATACAATCATTTACTTTATAATACCGAGTAACAACAATATCACTTTGAATGAATTAAATTAAATTCAAAATGAATGTAACTTCTTAAGGAAATTTAATTGAGTATACAGTTGTTGCAAAGTAATATTTCGTTATTAAAATTCGTCATTTGGTTCAAATTTTCGCTTCGATCTACAACAAAGTTGATTCAACGTAAAAATTTATATGTTTTTAGTTATTTATAAGCTAATAGCTTATTTATTTATCAAAATTCGATACATAATTGTGAATATAAGTACATGTAGAATGTCACAAAAAATTATTTATCTGTTAGTATTACATTTATAGTAGGCTTTAGAATCTCTTAATACTTGTCGAATATTTGTCGTATATTTGTCCAACATGTATAATCTACTGTTTATTTAAGTCCAATAATGGATATTTATTCAGCCACAAAGTCTATGTCGTATAATATGGCAACGTACTTGTTTATATATATATATATATATATATATATATTTAAATTTTATAAATTTGAATACTAATATGAATTTGTCAAAAGTTTTCAATTTTTCTGCACAATCGTTTTTGCTTCTTTACTATTCTAATAAACTTTTTTCTTCATAAATTTTAGAAATCTACTTTAAATCTTAGTTTATCTATTTATAACTATACAAATATAATGCATACTAATTCAGCAATAATATACAATATTATGTATTAATATAAAATATTCGTGAATATAAATCTACGAAAAAGAAACTTTTAAAGTCATCGAATAGAACATGAATATTCTTCGTAAAAGTCATAATTTTAAGACATTAAGTATATTGTATTTATCAAGAACGGAACAAATATATTAAGTATATAATTCAATTAAAAGTTCCACTAGATACAAAATAATTTCATAACTATTAAATATTTTCAGTTAATTTTAATAAACAATAATGAATAACAGTCGATTAGACTTGTTTATTATCACAATATTAATTATTACCTAGAAATTAAAATCAAACCTCATGATGTGGGAAAACTAATTCTTAAAGATAACTAATTTCTTATTAAATAATGACTGATAATAAATTCGAGCAGCAATCTCGTATATCTTCCTATCACCGGATATTGTACGTCTTGCAGGTTACGAATCACCTCTCAAGTCTTCCCTGACAACCCCTAAGCGAATGAGGAAGAATGGCGATCTGCCCAAAAGGGATCCTCGTGATCCTGCTGTTGAACGCGATAAGATGCTTCGCGAGTCTGTCCGAAGAGTTGCCGGAGGAGACGATGCAGGCCTCGAGTTTTGCTCCGCGACCGACAACCCCGACAACGACGCCGAAGACGCCAACTACGACGATGACTACGACGACTACGACGGCAACGACGACGCCGACGACGACGGGGACGGCGACCACCGCGACAACCACAACGACCACGGCGACGACACGGCGTGATCTTCCAGATCGCTGCTTCGTAAAAACCGAACACGGACCTTGCAAGAACTATGTGCACAAGTGGTCCTTCAACAAAACCGAGGACAAATGTCACACCTTCGTCTACGGCGGCTGCTTGGGCAACGATAATAGATTCAACACCGAAGAGGAATGCCTACATTACTGCATCGGCGGGCCCAATCGTACGTAAACGCGCTTTCGCTCGATTCCCCAAAGTAGTAGAAAAGCTCCGATCAACATATCCAGAGATTATAACAACCATTTCTCTCCTGCCTCCCTATATTCAACGACCATTATCTTGAAGTATTTTCTTTTCCTTCTCGCTTCACGCTTCTTTTTACTAATCTTTTTTAATATTAATTAGAAAACTAAATGCTTTCATTGATAATTGTGTAAATGCTTGTAAAACAAAATAAAAAATAAAATTTATGCAATGCAACTTCTTATTGTTGATTAAATGATTAAAGATACTCTACCGCCATACATGGTGACAAAGGGCAGTGTTTTTGTTACAACCAGTGCGACGGTTGCGAGTACGACACCAACGACGACCGTCACCACGGTCATGCCCACTTACAGTCCAACAAAACCAACGAGACCACCGGTACCTAGACATAAGAGAGGAAAGGTACTTAGCACGTTAAATTTTTAATATCCAGTAATTAAATAAAACAACAGCAAATAATTATAACAAACAACGATAATAGTTTATAAAATCTTTCATTAACTTATTCTAAAAGATTTGATTTCTATGCATATGACTTAGGTATCATATTTTTTTGCCAGGAATTAACTTTTATGGAATCTGGCTACGAGAAAACCTTTATGTTTGCGCAAAGTAACACTTTCATTCAATTAGATGGCCCTGGAATAAAAACTTTCCAATTAAGGTTTGTAGCCTGTTAATCATCATACATATGTTTAATCAAATCGCTATTGTTTATTATGGCGCATGATATACATAAAACTAATGTAATCATCACTCGGTTTCACAGTTACTTTTATGCTTCTTATTGTCCACTGCAATGGAATTAAAATCTCTGAAAATAAATAAATAATTTCGTAGACGTCAATTACATTTGCCTTGGTTTATGAGATATTGTTTAAAATTGTGCTGTACCGGTAAAGATACATTAATAACATTGGAACTAATTAGTTAATACACCACAAGATATTGCTTTAAGTGCATTATGTCTTTCGTAAAAAAAAAAAAAAAAAAAAAAAAAAAAAAAAAGATATATATACTACGAGTTCATAAAGAAACTCGTACATCACAAATATAAAATGTAATAAATGTAATAAATGTGAGTATGTAAAAATTCATTATGAGCAGGCTATGTCGTGAAATATCATTTAAATTCCGAACGAAGCTGCCACACGGACTCCTAGTTTACCATAGCGTGAAAGACCGCCCGGAGCGGCTCGAGCCCTACGCCCTCTACGTGATCGTGGAGAAAGGGCAACTTAAGGTCGTTCATGTGTTCGGTAAGAATTCAACGAGTCTGACCGTTGGCGAGGGCCTTAACCGGGACGAGTGGCACAGCGTTCTTGTGAGAATCGACGTGCACGGGGCCAAACTCATCGCCCGGGTCGACGATAAACAGGCCGAAACCAGCGTCGAAGTCCTCGAGCACATCGTTAATTATGGAGTCTCCGAGGAGCTCGCTTCTGTCGTTTTAATCGGAGGTTCGACCGAAATTTCTTCTTTTTTTTCTTCTTAACCAAATTATGTTTAACGAACATTTTTACTAAAATCTCCTTACCTTTACATTAACAAAAGAAACCTTTCTGTTATATTTTCGTAATATCCAAGTTATGTTTGGGGCACTTAATATTCGATAACATATAACGAACTATCAAATAATAAAACAATAATATTTAATATAATTATAAAATTTATTTCGTATAAATATTTTCACATCGCATCATTTTTGTCGAGATATTACAATACTGAAATTCCTAGAAATACTTTTGATTAATATTTATCTATATTTTTGTAGAACTTCTTTAGAAAATTTTACCAATAAAAAATAAATATATCGATCAATTTAAAATTTCAATACTGCCATTAAATTTGTCCCCGCAACAATTTTATTTAAAATTTTCAGTATTCTATAGTAATTTCAATAATATACAGTGTGCGCGTGTGCAATATAAAGTAAAAACTTAAAATGAAAAAATTAATTTCTTACATGATGAATGAACGAGAAGAGTAAATGTTGTTTAATCTTAATAAAAATTGTAATACATTTATTACAATATAAATTGTAACTACACAATTTACTTCTACTTTTTTTCTTTCTTTTTATCTTTCTCGATAATTATTCTGAATTTGATCATTTTGTTTATGATCATTTGATTTCCAATATAAACGTAATTTCATCTTATTTGCCTTAGATTTTAGCATGAGAAATCAATGTAATTATTTTTTAATTCGTATGTTTATGTGTAAGCACTACCGGGGTAGAAAAAAAAATTGAGTAAAATAATCTCAGCCCCGTACTGACTATTATTAATTTACCATTTCATCGTACTATGCATTTGAGAAATTATTTCATATTAATTTAGGATTAAGCTCCGAGGAACGGTTACACGGTGTTAAATACATTATTGAATCATTCGTTGGCTGCATAAGAGATATGGTACTGAGTTCAGGGAAGTCGGCCAGTGATCTTCTTCCCATTCGACCTCTTATCGCTACGAAACATGAGAACGTTAAAGAAGGCTGCATCGACAAGTAACTATTTTTATAACTAATTAACCCAAATTTTCATTAATTTTTTCATTCATAATTATTTAAAGCAATTTCATTATTTAAAACTAATTTATACGTGTAAAATTATAAATATTTCGTAGAGCTATTACGTTATAAAATTGAGCCCGTTAGTTTAACTTTATATATATATAGCTTTTATACATTAATAAAAAATATTGCAAAGAAATAATTAATATACGTAATTTGCAAATATCAATATAATACAAATCGTTTAAAAACAGTAAGTTTCACTTAATTTATTGCCAAGTATTTCACGGTACTGAGTTTACGATTTAGCGGTTAACGTGTCATTTAATGTTTATACAAAAAGCACCGTAAATAATAAATCATTTCTTATATAATGATGTCATATGTATACTTAATAAGCTTAATGCCATTCAATATTATTGAAATCACTTTACCAGATGCAGGACAAGGGAAAATCTGTGTTTTTTGGGCAGCCAATGCGTTAATCATTATAACAGTTTAACATGCGATTGCTTCGGAACGAAATACGAGGGGGAAAGGTGCGATGTTTACAGTAAGTATGCCTTATTAATAATTTCGCCTTAATTATTAGCCCAATGGAGAGAAAAATATCAATTATTGTTAATTAATTTCAGCTGCTACCATATTGACGTTTCGTGGCTCGTCCTACGTGTCTTTTCGCGTTTACGATTGGAAGGATCGCGTTCATTCCTCAGTCAATAGGATTAGTCTTGCATTCAAGGTAGAGAAAATTTTATGTGTTATTTTTATCTCAAATTGTAGAAAAATTATTTGCAATACTAATAATATTTTGTAATAAATGATTAGTCGATAATGTTATAAAATTTATGAATTTTAAATAAGTTATATGCAAATAGATTTAATAATGCATACAATTCAAATTAGTCGTTGAGAAAATGGTGTTATCATTAGCAGATAAAGCGCAGTCTCGTGTACATGCAAGTGGTCGACACTTATTGTTTTGCTGACTCTTTTTGCTTTTCATGGAATGTGAATCCGATCTCTAGTTATTCCAAAAAATGTGTCTCGTATTTAATATAAGAACAGATTGTATCATATTCGAGATACAATGACATTTATGTTCAAGACGATAAACACCTGCTACTGAAATTACGAGTAAAATAATAAAATATTTAAAATAGCTTAAATACTTTTGCGGTATATTAATATAAAATCTTAGTAAATTGAATAGATATACTAACAATATTTAAAACATTTATTTTGCCATAACTAAACCATTTTTATATTTAATATTGGCCATTTTCTTCTCCATGCTTATACATTATCTACCCATGAATATACAAATATACAATTATGAATTGTGACTATCAATATGAAAAGCGATATAATGAATAAAAAATTAATTTTTGAAACAATTCCTGATTATATAATAATATTGTTTCCATCAAATTTAACGCTTTAATACCAAAATAAAACATAGTAATATTAGGAAAAGCCAATTTCTCAATTTTTTATCAGGATATATTTAAAGATGAGGCAAGTTTCTAAGATTAAAAATTCTTCCATTTTTTCAATAGCGAGCACGTGAATGACATTAACAAACAAACAAAAATAGATAAATAAAGTATATGCTCGCTGTTTAATATTAGAAAATGAGCGTCTGAAACTTGTTCACAGACGAAATGGGACGATTCGGCACTTTTTTATGCCTCAGGCGAAATAGACGGGACGGCTCATTACGTTGCAGCATCGATTCTAAACGGCACCGTAGTCGTCGAATTAGATTTCGGCCACGACTCGAGGATCCGTACTACTCTTGGCTATCACATCGCCATGAACTATTGGAACAATCTTACCATTTATCATAATGTATCACTCGTCTACATCAGCTTGAACGATGATGTGAAAGTGCTCGAGATACCTGGTGACAATTACAATATGATTATCGACCCTGAGATTTATATCGGCGGTGGACCGGAGCTGCACAAAAAAAAGGGTCTTGTTTCTAATAATAATTTTGCAGGTGCGTTTCCTTTTCAAAATGTTATGTAACTTAACGCGCAGCTTAGCGCGCAACTCCATCTTAAGTTAAAATTGTAGATTATATAATAATTTGATTTTTGTTTGGAAAAAATTTGTAAAAGAATATCTAAAAAATATTTACGCATGCTGTTCGCCGTAGCAGGCCTTTCATATAAATTATTTACAATATTTATAGAAACTATTTAGATTCAATTAAATATTTAGAATCAATTTATTTAGATCACTAATTATGCACATTACTGTGAAAAATGTTTAAATTATAGACAATGTTTAAGCTTAATAACTAAAATTTAATTAAATGTATGAACACTATTTTTTATTAAACGTAGGTATTAATTTATAATAAAAATTTTAGGTTCATTAAAGTATGTATTCTTTAATGATAAGTCAATTATTTATGAATTGAAACGTTCGAACCCAATGGTTCATTATATTGGAGTCCTTGAGCCTGAGTATTATGAAGATGATGTTGAAGTGATCCCGATAACTTATCCTTTCGCTGGAAGTCATATTTGGTGGCCAATAAATAATACCGAATCGTTAAAATTGAATTTTGATTTTAAAAGCTCCAAACCTATAGCAGTCGTTGCTTCTGGTGATATTATAAGTGAAAACGGTCCTGGATATTGGGAGGTATTTTAAACTGCTTTATTATTACATATTTAAAAAAAAAATTTCCCAATTGATGCACTTGTTTATACAAAGAATAACTGACCGAATACTTTCTTCGGTATGCTTACTAACTCTATTATTCGTGTACATATTTCTCTTAAATTCTTACAATATACAATACGTTTTAATATAAAATTCATTCGTTTCGCTCTTGTACATTATCCTCCTCACATCATACAGACCATTAACATTATTTCAACATTAATCAGTCGACATTGGCTTTTAAAAATATAGATAATTAATTCCTATCTTTTTAGTCTATTAACTAATAAATTATTCAAATTTTTGTTAAGTAAAAAATATTAACTTTTAAATCACAAAATATAAACATCAAAGTACATATTAGATATTGTGTACTTGTTATAATTTAAAAATAACTTATATTTTATTTTTCTCAGTTGCGGGTAGTCAACGACGAAATACGCTTTCATCTACTTCCTGTATTGCGTGAAAACGTCACGGTCACGGTTGCTGTTAAATTTCCAGCAAACACATCGTGGCATGCCGTAGAACTTAATTATACAAAGGAACAATTAAGTATTTTAGTAGATTATCGAAATAAGCAAAGCAAACTTTTTCAAATGAATTTAGAACTCGGAGATCGAGTTATCATTGGAAGTGGAAAAGGGAATGCTGGTAAATTTGATAGTCCTAATAATAACTTTATGGACATCTGTTAATATTTTAATGCATCAAAGCGAGATTAAACGTAACGATCTTTGTACATAAAAGAGTACATACATTTTTTTTTCTTTATAAACTAATATATACATATATATGAATTATATAAACAATTTTTAAAAATCAGATATGTTAAAGAATAATTATTATTAAAAAAAAAATTTTAATTCTTATCAGGTTTAGTTGGATGCATGAGAGAAATTTCTGTAAATAATCAGAGGATTGAACCAAGATATATTATTAATACTGAGAGAGTAGTTGGAGAAGTTGCTCTTGATAATTGTAAATTCGTCGATCCATGTAAGCGACCCAATACCTGTGAACATGGAGGCAAATGTTCTGTAAAGGAAGACAGAATTACATGCGACTGTACAGATACTGGCTATATTGGCAAGAATTGTCATTTTGGTAAGAAATCTATTTTTTACAATAAAATGTTAATTTATTATTCTTTCTTTTCCGGTAAAACTTCTTTAATCTTATCATGACGTTGTAGTGCTTTTTAAATTACTGTAAGATAAAAAAATGAAGTAAATATTTTTGACTTTGTACTTTCAATAGACAAAAAATCACAATTGAATTGTATAATATTTTAGCCGTAACAATTATAAGCCGTAACAAAGATAGAATTATTAATTTATTCACAGCTCAGTATAGAAAGACATGCGAGGAATTAGCCCTGTTGGGTTACACTAAAGATGATGTATATAGAATTGATATAGATGGCAATGGTAGATTTCCGCCGGCTTTAGTTAAATGTGAATTTCAATCAATCGAAGATTCTACAAAAACAATTGTTGAACACAATTTACCGTCTCAAGTTGATGTTCGCTCAATAACTGAATCCGACTTTTCCTTCAGTATTAGCTATATACAATTTACAGCGGAAATGCTACAGGAATTGATTTCACATTCTCTATATTGTAGTCAATATGTGAAATATGATTGCTACAAAGCTCCTTTAGAACTCCATAGTGCCACGTGGTTTTCCAGCTCTAAAGGAACCACCGTGGATTACATTGGAAATGTGAATCGGGGCTCCTGTCCTTGCGGAGGTAATAACACATATTTCAAATCTTTATTCCGTGATCTGTTGTAAAAATGGACATAAAATAATATTAAAATTATCTAGCTTCACGGAGACATTTCTTATAAAAATTCCATTGGATATGATTCATTTTTCACTTTTATTCCCTTCATTAAAATTGGCAATGCCAATTGCTTTCTGCTATTTAATTTTATCATAAATATTTTAAATATTGCCGCTAGTAGCTGAGCAATAATAAAATATTTCATTATTTACAGTCAACAGAACCTGCGTGAATTCGAATCTCAGCTGCAACTGCGATGTATCAGCTGGCAAATGGCTGTCGGATGAAGGATATTACGAAACTCCAGAATCGCTGGGAATTACTGAAATGGTTTTCCTTCAACAACGAGATCTTGAAGAAGATGCGCAGGGTCGCATGACACTTGGTCCTCTCGAATGTGTCGAAACTAGTAAGTGAATCTTTATACTTCCATCAACAGCATTCCTCCTTGCTTTTTCAATTTAGATTGTCATTTTTCGCAGACACGCAAAAATATGTTGTAACGTTTACAACATCACAGTCTTATATCGAAGTTCCTGGCTGGCGGAAGGGGGATATTGCTTTTAGCTTTAGGACAACGGGAGAAAAAGCTATTCTTTTGTATCAACCACCTATACGAAGCAATTATCCGTCATTTATGGTCGCGCTTACTTCTGAATACCGACTAACGTTTAATTTTACCCTTAATACTGGAACGATTCGCGAGCTCGAAGTAAAAAGTCGTAGAAAACTGAATAATGGAGAGTGGCAAAAAATTTGGATAGATTATAATGATTATCATGTGAGATTCATGATAAATACTGATTTTCAAATGGTTGACTTACTTCCGGAGGAAGAATTCGGACCTTTCGAAGGATCAATGTTTATAGGTGGTGCCACAGCGTAAGACTTATTTTATTATTTTCAAATATTCTATTGCAAAACTTTATATTCTGGTAAATGTAAAAGAAGTAGAAAAAAAAATATATATATATATATATGAAATTAAAAACATCATTTTTAATTGTTTTATTATATTTGTTAGAGAGCATCTGAAAACATCGTCGGTTAGTCAAGGATTGATAGGTTGTTTCCGGGGTTTAGTGGTAAATGGTGAAATACTTGATATTCATAGTTACATGTCGGTTCACTTGTCGGAAATTATCAAAGACTGTAAGCCCTCGTGTCAGCCGAATAAGTGCCAAAATAATGCCCGATGCGTCGAGCTGTGGAGCAACTTTACATGCGTCTGTGAAAATAGATGGGCCCACTTGGGAACTTACTGCGAAACGAGTAAGTACTTGTTTATAACTATAAATCATCTCAATCCAAGATATTTTATACAATTACTTTTATGGCGTAAATTAAATTGATAACGAGCATTAATTTGTTAAAATAAATCAAAGGTTTTTTACTAACAGCATTTTACTAATAAAAAAGTTTATTATTTAAAAAAAAAATTAATAATTATGATAGTTTTAAATTTAATTTAATTGTTATAGATATCAATAATAAAGCTTTGACATTCACATCACCTGGAGCTTTTTTAAAAAAGAATTATTTTGGCTCGAGTAAAGAGGAGGAAGAGAAAACACTTTTAAAGAGTATGTTGTTGAAAAATATACTCATAAACTTAAGAACTTACGACATGCACTCGCTGATATTATATGCAAATGATCATTTAAATAATTTTGTGCATTTGTACATATCTAATGGAACGAGTATCGTTTACTTATTCAACGCCGGGAATGAGATTAAGAACATTAGCGTCGAATACTCGGGTGCTAATACTGGAATTTCCGTTCAAATCGCCATTGTGCGGACTGAAAACAGAACGACATTGCACGTAAACGAGCAGAATGTCACTCTTGATGCGGTACCTCATCTTCTGGATACTTACTCGAACAAACCATGGATCAATCCAGAGAAAGAGATTCTGGCTCCCCAACGTCCGCCAGCTCCTCCAACTGACTATTTCCAAGTATTAATTATTCATAATTATATCTTTAGAAATATTTAATTAAATATAGTCTATTAGAGTTAATAATTAAAAATTGGCATTGGGTAGTTATTTTTTTAAGTATTTCATGATAAAAGCAACGAAGCATTTATATAAATTAGTAAAAAAAAAAAAAAAAAAAAAAACGTGTAAATTTCGACCCCCAATATTGAAAATATTAATGATTTATGCGTTCATGCAATCAATACATAATTAATACAATTGGCTATATTCCACTGTCAAATATCAGTGGAAACGTTTTATTATTAAAATAACGAATTTTATTGATTTTCCTGATGTTTTATGTCGAAAATAATGTAGGTTAAGTAAGCGACGATATAAACTTGCTGTGCCAAAGATTCAAAAACGTAAATCGAGGAAAAAAGCAGAAAATGAAATACTTCGCTTGTATCGGTGGCATGGTCATAAAAATTATACATGCGGCTTCTAGAAAAATTGTTACGGCTCCTCCACAGCGGTGTCCGACCTTCATTATTTTTCTTTACTAAGGACGACTTCTGACTTCCGACCTTTGACCGTCCCGCTAATTTTTTTGCTCCAAAGACTATCATTTGTTCATCTTTCGAACATCCCGGAGGAGTAGAAACGCTTTAATCATAATTATTATTTTTTTTTACGACGGCTTTCTCCGCTTACTCCGCTCTCTTTCCGTTACCGTTGCCACACGTGCTGCCCCACCAATAATAGAAGAAACGAAAGCCGAGGCTATAATTATATATCCGCAAGATTATTCAGAATGAAGTGCAGAGCCGAAATGTCAAATTAAAATAACACAGGCACCATAAAAACTTGAGCAAAACTAATACTTATTAAATGTCATATTATTATTTAATTCTATTAGTCAATTTACTTGTTATAAATTAACTTTATAATCAATACTTGATTTTTTTTTGTTTTTTGTTTTTGTTTTGTTTATTGATTTACAACAAATGACATTTGCTTTTATAGGTAAATTTAGGAGGATTTGATCCAGATAATCTTCTACGTGTGGGAATTGAGGGGAATTTAATTCAGGGTTACATCGGCTGCCTTCGAGGTCTCATGATAGGAGAATATCTTGTGGATTTGCCAAATTTGGCCAGCGAAGCTAATCATGAAGGTAGTAAAGGCGTATTGCCAAACTGTCACATGAAGTGTGACACCGTACCTTGTAAGAATCAAGGAACTTGTACAGAGGATTTTGGCAAGCAGGAAGCTTCGTGTAATTGCGAGCTGACTTCCTACTTCGGGGAGCACTGTGCTGACGGTATTGGTCCTTATAATTGTTAAGCCATGTCGTTGCTATTTTAAAAACATTAAATTACAACATAAAGTTAGACGAATTTTAAGTCATTATTTCATTTTGATCTTAACTCTTTGACTTTAGAGAAGGGTGCTGATTTTAGCGGTGAGAGCGTTTTACAGCGAGAATTCAATTTAGATGGAGAAGTTAATCGTATAAAGGTGCAATTGGCATTTTCAACAAACGATCGGCAACGAACATCGGCACTTCTACTTCTTCAAACGGAAAATAAGTAAACGATTCTTGATAAATTCTTAATGCTTTACGCTTTGGCTTATAAAATCCAATAAAAAATTATCTGCTACTCAGAAGGAGCTATTATCTGTTAGTCGCCCTAACATCGGAGGGCCAACTTATTTTCGAGGAAGACAGGGAAGGCTCGGCTTTTGGTGTACGCCTTAACGATAGAACGTTTTCAAATGGAGCCCGTCACAGTATTTATTATGTCAGAGACAATAATACCGCTACATTATTGGTTAGTCGTTAATGATGATTTTTCTACCCTTTTACCATCGTCATAACAGTGGAATAATTATACTATATTTATAAAATTTATCTTTACTTAGATTGACAGAGAACAAGTGCAATTAATGCCTATACCAGCGTTAAGTTTGGGCGAGGACGAAGACGATGAAGACGACGACGATGACGATGGTCCTGGAACAACGGAAATTCAACTCGGCGGATTAAATACGACGGACAAGAGATTCAGAGCCTATAAGGGTTATACGGGATGCCTAAGCAGTGAGTAGAAAATCGTTGAGCTACCAACCACTTATAAAGCAAATTTTAAACTTCATAACTCGCTTTTACAGATGTGGTAATTTCGATGAATGGTGGTGTTGGCATGAAACCTCTCGAAGAGTACATGTTATTTACGAAAAAAGGAAGCGAGACGGTACGAGTAACCGTCCCGGCTGGAGTACGAAGTGCACAATGCGCCGTCTTTCACACGCAACCACGTGGACTGGAGCCACCGAAAAATGACAGCGTGGTAATAAAGATACCGAGAATTCTAAAATTTATCCACTGTCATTGAACCAATGTTTAATTGAGATAATAATACCGTCGTAGTCCAATTCGATTGTCACGTTAAAGTCTCAAATGTTTAGAATCGCGAGCGCTCCTGGGGCGAGGATCCACCGATGCGCATTCGCTACAAGTCCCATTATTCGGACGCGACACAGGAGGAGCAGGGTGCGGGCACGTACATCTTCATCGTACTCGTCTGTCTGGCGTTTGCTGTTGTCGGCTGCTTGGGTCACCTGTGGTGCCGCTCGCGCAAGGATCGGAAACGTCAAAAGCAGCAGCAACGTTCGCGTTCGGGCTCCTCGACCTCGAACTCGCAGCGCTGGCCCGGCTACGGGCCTGATCTCACAGGCCCTGCGCCCCTCGGCTCCACCCCCAAGACCGTCGGCTTCAAAAACGTTGACGGCACGGAGGAGAAGAGACCCAATGGAACACACGCGAGTAAAGTCACATTGGCTGGTTCCAACTCAAAAGAGTACAAGCCCGTGGCCAATTCGGAGCCCAAAATGGATCAACTGTACGACAGAAGGAGCCTCGGTAAAGGTGGGTACTTTTAAATCATGCAATTGATGAGTCTTGCGCTTTAAAGAGATAATTGCATTTGCAATGGCGTTACAATAGCGCGGATAAATATGGATTCGAATACTTTACAACAGGATAAAATGGATTTATGTATTTCGTGTCCGCGGCCTATTCGAATTGAAACAATCCAATCAAGTTGTTTAACTCTCCGAGTTTAATAAATAATGAATTCCTTTTCATAATAATGATATTAATGAAATTTATAACTTTTGAGACACGCTTGTGTGATAAAACGAAAAAAACAAAGAAACAAAAGAAAAACATCGCGCTATACATTTTTGCGATATCGCTTGTCAATTTAAAAATACATTAATGTAATACGCTTGATTTTGTTACAGCAGAGGAGGAAGCTGAAAAGAAGGAGCTGCTCGGGGTAAATACAGGCCTCGTCTCTAAACCTGCGAAACCGAATCCATTTGTAAAGACTTTTCTTTTTTTTTGTTGCCAGTATTTATGCATATATTGAGCTTATAAGGCTTCTGCTTTTGCTTACGTACTGAATGCTTATCTTTTTTATACTTCAAACCATCTATTTAGATAATATCATGAAATTTGGTGCAGTCAGTTTTACCATATTATCGATCATGCCGTCCCATAAAAATATTTGGAATGTGAAAATGTTTTTTGTACATAAATCATTAAAATCAGAGAAAGTTTGAATAAAATAACAGAAGAATATAAGGACATAAGCGATACGTTAAAATTATATTCTTATATATTTCATTAGAATATACATACACACTCGTTCATTCATTCGATCGTCAATTTGTACGCATAATAATTGATTTGCACGTCATCGAATTAAATAAATAATTTATTAAGCGAGTGCAGCTACTCTTACAACTAGATATCTAAATCTACTACATAAATGCACGCGCGTGCGTATAAATTTTCATGGTACTTATATCGGTGCAAGAAAATAATAATATTATTTAGCAAAAGTATTTTCAGAAGCGATAGTGATTTTCTCATTTTTATTTATAAATTCATATATTCTCTTCGTTGGTATTAAAGATTTAAAACGCAGTTCATATTTCACAGCTAATTTCTTTGTCTAAAAAGCTTTTGATTTCACGCGCTTTCTTCATGCTACGTGTGTCGTGAAATTGACGTAAGCTCTTATATTGAAATTCAATATTCTGAAATTATGAGCTTGTAAAATGAAATTTTTAAATAAAACTTAATTTTTATTTCAATATAAAAGCTTAACAGTGTCAATCAGAAAAATTACCATAGGAGATGAAAAAGACTTAATTAGTAACAAAAGTTTACTTTACTTACGTTGTAGAATAAATATGGACTCTCTCTCTCTCTCTCTCTCTCTCTCTCTCTCTATCTATCTATATATATATATATATATATATATATATTGTAATAAATTAATAATAATAAAGATAGATATTGTTCATTCAAATAGAAAATGTTTTCACGATAAAAAATAGTAATTTTAATCGTGCAGTATAATAAACGTTGCTGAAAAGTCTAATAGATATTTAGAGATAAAAAATTTATAGTAAAAATATTTAATGCACGTATTACATAGATCAATGGAAAACTGTTTCATCTCCTCGATGCATCTTTAATATTAATGCGATCGATTACCTTCGGCAATTGCTTTTATTGTTACAGTCAATGGAGGACTTGAGAGAAGAGCCGGAGCTCGAGGAAGAGGAACAGAACGAGGAAGAAGAGGAGGAAGACGAAAGCGAGAACGAAATGACGAACACGGAAATTGTCATCAAGGCGAACGGGAAACTGGGCATACCGAAAAGTCCAACGCTGGTAAGGGGCGCACGTGTCCCAAAACCGCGGAACGGTAGTCTCAAAAGTGCCCACAAGGCCTTACTGCAGACGAATTTCTCGGTGACCGGTCTGAATGAGATTAAGACCGAGCGCATACCTACCGACCGCGACCCTCATATTGTGTTGCAATGCGATGTTTCGCCCGGGAGTAACAATTGCCCGCCCACCCGGCCCGTAAGCCTCCACTTGAGTAGGACTTTTACGACATTCAAACCGCCCCGACCGGGTAGCATGCATGTAGAGAAGGTCACGGCTAAGATACTTGACTCGCCAAATACCGACTAAAGCCCTACCTCCTATTAACTTTCCCTGTTGTGGCGACTAGCTGAGAGGCGTTCAAGTGGCGCGGTGCTTCGCTAACTTCAACACTTTCCAGCTTTGAAACGCTTATGTGAATTTTCATAAATAAAACAAAAACAAAAATAAATAACAAAAATATTACTTTTACGTTATATAGAGATATAAATTGCGTACCATTGATTGACTTGTCAATCATATTTATCAAAGTTAATCTTAAGTTTACCGAAAAGGCTGAAGTGTTTTCAATGTGTGCATCGCGTTTACTTTAAATAAGACTTTAAGTGAAAACTTTATAAATAATCGGCCAAGTAGATTTTCACTAACGTCATTTTTCATCATTACAATCATATTAAACAAAAAAACAAACAAAAATAAAAAACAAAAAAAAAAATTCCTAATCGAATACTAAATGACACTTTTTCGATGAATTTCGATTTTCACAAAAAATAAGTTAATATTTTATGAGATATACAAGAATTGTAGAATATTAACGCTTACTGCAAATTACCTCTTGTTCGTCCTATTAGTAATAACCCTGGTCAATTATTATTATTATTATTTTTATGTTTATTATTTAATTGCGACTCTTTTAATAATCGCTATTAACGTAAATTAATGATCAGTCATTTGAAACATTTTACTTAAATGTATTAGTGGTATTTTAGTTAAGTCTTAAATAGCCTTTGACATAAAGCATATTGAGTGATCTAATCAGTATAACATTATGTATTGCAACAAGTCTTATATTACAATAATAATTTAAATGCATTGTAATTATTTAAAATGTAATACAGACTTATTTACTTTCTTAAAGTATGTGTAATTTACTTAAAAGAAAAAAAAAGAAAAAAAAAACACAAAAACTGAAATCTTCAAAATTTTACATTTAACATAATTATTTTTAAAAAAATATCAGAACATATTAAAAAATAATCGTAATGAAAATGTAAATTTTATTAATTGCTCGAAAAATCAATTTATTTGAAAACAAATTATTCATGATTAATGTTATTTTTGTAGTCCCATCTACAAAAAATACTAATTAAGTCTGAATTAGTATTAGGTGATCTATAAAAAAATTCTCTATAAACTTAGAATTTTTAGATTAAACTTTGAAGAAACAATAAAATTACAGACAATTGATTACTAAAACTAAAGTTTTTAAAATTCATATTTAAAATATTATTAACGTTAATAATAATATTTTATAATTTAAGGTACTTAAAGTTTCAAGAATAAAATCAATTTTCTAAGTATTTAAAGTACAGATAAATATCGTTAAATTAATATACCAATATTTTTTTAATCACTGCGAAATATAGTTAACAAATATAGAAATACTATTCAGATAAATCATATTTATCTTTCATTATAATTCTTTTTATTATCGTGAGAAAGCTAATTATTATATTAACTCTTAAATGTTAATTATTTAATTATGTGTTATTTTACATTTGTATACACTTGTTAAGTTTGCGAGTGTGTAATAATACTTCATGTGGCAAATACCAGATTCACCGCACATTTTTACGACCATCATATCAATTATTATTAGATAAACATAAATAATATTTGTATTATTATGAGAAATAAAAATAATTGATTTCCCCTTTTATATATACGCATTTAATGTTTAATGGGTAAATGAAGTTAAAAAGTCGTGAAATTTATACGTATTAAATTTCAGATACGAAAAGCATCGTTGAAAAGTCTCGATGACAACGTGATATCTTTAAATTCAATCTTCAGCAATAGCGATGAATCTGAAAACACAAATAAATATTAAAGGTATACGATAATTTTGTATATATTTCATATCGAATAAATCTGTTTTTTCAATTTGAATTAAAAAATTATTTTCAACAAAATAACAAAAATTGTAAAAATAATTTCTTACTGTATGCTGAATGTGTATGACGCCATAATTCCTAAATAAGCATGTAAATCACGCAGAGAAATAATAAATACAACAGAATCAACGATTATTATAAAAATAAAAATATATGAATAAATTTTCTGTGAATATATTTATATATTCCCACTCTTCTGATGTTATTACTTTATTTATTTGTTTTTGTTGTTGTTGTTGTTGTTGTTGTTGTTGTTGTTGTTGTTGTTGTTGTTGTTGTTGTTGTTGTTGTTGTTGTTGTTGTTGTTGTTGTTGTTGTTGTTGTTGTTGTTGTTGTTGTTGTTGTTGTTGTTGTTGTTGTTGTTGTTGTTGTTGTTGTTGTTGTTGTTGTTGTTGTTGTTGTTGTTGTTGTTGTTGTTGTTGTTGTTGTTGTTGTTGTTGTTGTTGTTGTTGTTGTTGTTGTTGTTGTTGTTGTTGTTGTTGTTGTTGTTGTTGTTGTTGTTGTTGTTGTTGTTGTTGTTGTTGTTGTTGTTGTTGTTGTTGTTGTTGTTGTTGTTGTTGTTGTTGTTGTTGTTGTTGTTGTTGTTGTTGTTGTTGTTGTTGTTGTTGTTGTTGTTGTTGTTGTTGTTGTTGTTGTTGTTGTTGTTGTTGTTGTTGTTGTTGTTGTTGTTGTTGTTGTTGTTGTTGTTGTTGTTGTTGTTGTTGTTGTTGTTGTTGTTGTTGTTGTTGTTGTTGTTGTTGTTGTTGTTGTTGTTGTTGTTGTTGTTGTTGTTGTTGTTGTTGTTGTTGTTGTTGTTGTTGTTGTTGTTGTTGTTGTTGTTGTTGTTGTTGTTGTTGTTGTTGTTGTTGTTGTTGTTGTTGTTGTTGTTGTTGTTGTTGTTGTTATTATTATTATTATTATTATTATTATTATTATTATTTTAATATAATAATTATTAAATGAGAAGTGTAATGTATAATATCCATTTTCTTGCATGTCACGCTTTGGGCTGTAACCTAGTTGTTTTTTTTCTCTCATACGCTTCGTATTAAATCAATGCAGAAACAACAATACCTAGTTTAAGCTTTATATTGAATTAACAAAAATGCGCTATTTAAAAAATATCAAATGAAATCGGTCAAATACTTTGGGCTTTTATAAGAACCGATCGCCTATCAAGTACTCATTACCGTGTGACTTACTTCTTTTTATTGGGTTTTCTGTAAAATGAAAATTAAATAATACATACACATGCCCACGAGAGAAATAAAATATTTTCGTTTGTCATCTGTATGTTCGAGCGAATTAGCAGGTTTGTTATAATTTTATTTTTAAATGCTTATTTTATTTTAATAATAAAATTTATGAAAGCCGTATAGGGCCCATAATTTTACATTTAGAATGAATAATTTGCCTTTGAAGTTAGTTCACTAATATACAATAAAGTAAGTGTTTATTCGACGGGCATTAATTTTCTTTTCTTTTTTCGAACCGTACAAATTAGCGCATATAAATCATAGATAAAAACAATTATTACAATTGTAATTAGTATAGTATAAAGGACGCGAGTCGCATGAAATATTTTGTAAGTGTCACACTTACATTCCTAACGTAAGCATAAATATTTTTATATTAAAAACAATAGTTGAGAATAATTAATAATAATAAAAACTTTGTTTTAAGAAGTATCTTTTATTTTTTTTAGCTGCAGAGCTGAGACGGAGTAACATTAGACTGGTGACCATTTTCAAGCCACCAAACCAACGGTTCTGCACCAAACCCATTAGTTACTATTGTGAGCCAATGCCACCAGAGTCAGCAAGTAGGACCTCGATTCTGTCAATATCCATCTATTTATCATCAACTAGCCTCCCTCACTAGCTCCGTATTTGTAAAACTCTCACGAGTGCCTAGTCAAAAAGCTAAAAATAACAAAAAGAAAAGAAAAGAAGAAAAAAAAGAAAAAAAATGCGGACATAGGAAAGGAGCTGCATACTTAACTGTCCTTCTTCCGGGAATTCACCAGTGAATCTCAAAATAAGTGAACGACAATGTACACTTATGAAACGCACCGATCAGGCGCAACATCGACAACATATATTGAGAAAAAAAATATATGACAGCTTTCCGTTTTAAATGACGAGTGCATGATTACTGAACGAATTTCCTCATAAATATTGAAATAATTAAAATATTGATATATTTTTTAAATATACATATATATTATTATATATCCCGTAAGAAATACGATGGATAGCAGATGAAAAATTGTTACAAATTAGTAAAACATAGGTATTGTGAAATCGTGTGATATTATACATGTACAATATGTCATATAATTTATTATTTGATAATTTAATTTATGAATTCTATATACATAGTAAGTATTTTAAAAGATTTGCAAAAATAAAAAATATGGATTTCCAATATGTAACAACACTAACAGTTCATAATTAGTTTAACAGAATATATTATAATTGTTTTGCATAATACTACTTTATTATTTTTTATAATGAAGATTCGTATAATATTCCTAAGAATTATTGCAATAATTTTAATTTTAATGCAAATGAAGACTTTTTCTCCGTGTTCGTGAGAGAAAAAAAAATAATAAAATCAGAAATGATATTGTATAAGAAAATATATTGTATAAGGAAATTGGTACAAGTAAAGTAAATGATATGAATTTAATTATATTCTATCATATTATATTATTGCATATCATCCGAATTATGTATATATGTGTGTGCACTTTGATAACACTAATAATTAATCATTTGCGCACATTTATAACCATAAATTTTTTTACAAAATGTGTCAGAATAAAGATTAAATAAAAAACGTTAATCGTTATTTGCAAAACGAAATGTCAAAACATTAAGAAAATAACAACAAAAATAAACAATTTATAAATACTTGATCATTAAGATTACCAGTATGTTACAGTAAATAGCTTAGAGATATGAGATCTTGCAACACTGAATGGATTGGATGTATATTTTTTAAATTGAAAGTGTGATGGTTATGCTTGTACAAATTTTAATAAACTTAAAACTTAATTTATAAATTTCGTATAAAATTCTTTAATATTGATTGTACATCGATCGATGCGTGTGAAATTTTTTTTTTCATTGTAAATCTAATTTCCTCATAGATGCTTACAAAACTGTTACATTTCCATAAGAATATAATATTTATTGTCGTAGAATTTCACAATAATTTTTCATTATTATAACTAAAAAAAAAAAAACAAAAAAAAAATCTTTGTTGTATGAATACTGGTAGTATATAATTAAAGTCAATTAAAATGTTTTATTGTCATAACAAGATAAATTTCCTCGCCAAGAGCCATCAGTAGCAGAACGATGATTCTGAAAATAAATATAAACGAATTATCGAATTTGAAATTTCCTTATTCCTGGCAATAAGGAAAATGGCTAAAAATATACAATCTGTTCATTCAATAATAATTTACATTTTTAGATAAATGTAATCTTGTGAAAAAAATATTTTTAATGAAAACATATTTTAAGATCTAATGAGTGTTTAGCAATTTATAAATAACTAGTAACTTACAGGCAACGTGGATGAAAGTAATTCAATTTGCGAATAAATTAAATCATTAACATTATCCTCTTTAGTCTCTAATTTTTCTCGTAATCTCGATGGTCTATCACTTTCATAAATACCAACAAGTAATGCAGGAATCAAGGAAATTACAATTACTAAAAAAGTTAACAGCCAGAATGTTGGAGAAAGCAAAAGTTTTGGAAAAACTCGAAACATGTCTCCATCGTATTGACTGAAAATCGTATTAAATTAAATTAGATAGAAATTAAAAGAAGATTAATAAATGCAAATGGTTAAAATTTAACGTACAAATTCCAATAACAGTAGATAAATGCGAAAATAAAAAAGAATAATTCTGTTAAAATTATACTTAATTTAAATGGAAAAGTCCAGTAAGAGCTAATGATTAGTAGCTGTAAAAATAAATTATAAAAGATTATCAATTATTTTATATTAAAAAAATTAGCTAGTTCAATTATAGCAAAATAAAATAGAGAAAATATACAAACTTCTAAATTAATAATTAATATGACCAAGTGAAATATACAGGTACCGAAGCACCAATGATCCGCTGGTGTACTATCGTACAAATTTATTGGATTGTATTTCCAATAATAAAATGGAATAAAATATATGGTACAGGTCTGCCAAATCGCTGAAAATAAATATAATATACAATATAATAAATTTATATACATATATATATATATATATATATATATATATATATATTTATTATTAGTATCGTTACCTATTATTATCCACCGTATAAATTGGCTTGTAGATAATAAATAATTCTTTTTATGCAATTGATATAATTGCGGATACTTTAAGAGCTTATCATCGGAATAATTTTGCTCAGAAATACCGTAAATAAGAATTGGTATAGAGGAAAAAAATATATTAAAACACATTAAAAATATACTATCGTAGAGTACCTGTAAACAAATGATCAATTTAATATTAAAAATCATCGCAAAGTATTGTGAGATCCTAAAAGCAGTCTACGAAATGGCTATATATTATAGCAATTTTAAGAAAATATGAAAAAAGTGAAACAGTACGGGCAGAAGAGAATAATTAAGCTAATTGCAAGAAATATTTATCAGCTCGTTGAAACGTAACGTTATATAAAGCGTGAACCAACCTGTCCTGAAAAGCCATTGTAAATACTGAAAAAGAATTGAGGTGTAATGAAGACAAGATTCTTGTAAAAAAAGTACTGCGTGAGTTTGGCCACTCTGAGGTAATACCAATGTCCGTGAACAAGAAGAGCCCTCTCGAGGTGCATAAATTTTCCAAATGCGAAATCGGCGCTCATGGCCGCCTGTCGACCCTCTCTACCCATAATACCAAACCCCACGTGGGCCTCTTTAATCATGGACACATCATTGCCACCATCGCCGATCGCAGCGGTTATTGGTCTGCTCGATGCCCGTTTAATCAGCTGTACCACCTGCTCTGGAAAAAATAGTCCTCCGGCTATTTATTTATGTTAATAATGCGGCCGAAATTAATGCTATCGATACTCGCCACACGACAGAGCAAATCAAGGGATTATGTTACAATATCACCTCGCTCTTTTGTAAGGGCGACATGCGGCAGCAAACCACCGCTTGGCAATTCATCGCGACGGTTCGCAATAAGCCGGGAAAATTGTTCAAAGCCAGTCCCAGACTCGTCCCATCGAGCAGCAATCCATAGTGCATAAACGGCTGGATTTTCATTTTTCGCCTGGCAAAATAGAGAAGGTGCGTCATTTTTTTCAAAAATCTTTCAAAATAATACGCTACGCATCAAACTGCATTATAAATTGCCTACTCGAAATTTATAAGATTAGCGAAACATAATTGCGACGAGTGTACATTCACGAGTCTCATTATCTCCGTCCTTTTTTTAAACTGACCGCAGAAGAATGCGGTATTTTCCGCCGTTTCCGTCTTATCTCCCGTTAATATCCAAATCTGTGAAATATCATACGTATCTCTCAACAAGTGCCTAGACACCTGCCATTAAACTAAATTAATCATATCACATACATAATATTTATATGAATTAGTGTAAAAACAAACAAAAACAACAAACAAAAAACAAAACAAAGAGAAAAAAAAAAAAAAAAACTAGAAGATGCTCGTTAAACTCCATCGTGCATAAGGTAAATAATTTATAATTTATACGAAGCTTAACACTAGTTTTCTTTTTTCTTTGCTTTTTTTGTTCTTCTTCTCTTTTTTTGATCCAATCTGTCTAGAAATTGAAAATGCTAAGAAATTAAAAGTACTTTGATCCCGGCAATACGAAGCTTTTTCATTGCCTTTGGAACGCCTTCTTGAAGACGATCCTCAACTGCGGTTACTCCTAATAAGGTCAAGCCACCTTCGAATCGAGCGTAAACACGATCGATATAATCAACTCGACTCTTATTAATTAATTGCCTCGCTTCGCGTACAATTCTTGTAAAACGCTCGTAGTCCTTGTCGGCAAATTTCTTAAATCCAACGACCAGTGTCCTTAATCCTCGCTAAGCAAATTATAGTTGGAGTGTTTATTAATCAAGTGTCTGGAGGAAGTCCATGAAAGAAGAATATGTCTCGGGCATTTAAAATTTTACACGAACCATGGAAAAGTCGGCTACGTGAGATTTCGCTTCCTGTATTCTGCCATATTGAATTAGCGGGAAGACGGAAGAGTCAGCACCTTTGCAATATAGCCAGATGATACCATTGCTATCTTTAAGTATCACAGACATTCGTTTTCTAACTGAAAATTAAATAAATTTACTATTTACTATCGGTTTGGGCGATAAATGTGAAAGGAGCATTTTACCAGATGTGAACTCGAGAGTGTCGAGCTTCTTGAAAAACATTCTCGCGCCTTTGGCGTTAATTTCTATTGTATTGTCAGTGATATCCCCAAGATAAACAACACCGCATCGTGCGGATGCTTCAACGAGAGCTTTCTCATCGGACGATGCCGCCTAGGAAAAAGATTGTCAATAAGCACGAGCGTTCCCCTCGTTTAAAAAGGACTTTTAAACATTATCGCTATTCTGCTATGTCACCTGATATTCCGGCAAATCGGGATGCATCATGAGAGAACTGTTTACGGTTGTGATTTTTTTTAAGCGAAAACTTTCACGATACTCGGCGCGACGAAGCTGTGCTTTGGCTTTCTGTGTCGGAGGTGCAATATGTACAGTGTGGCACAGCGATATACTTAACATAAAATGCCAAATTTCTTTCTGATAAACAAACATAATAATAGGATAGCTTACAATTCAGAAGATGAATTCTGAAGATATTTGTCGATAAAGTAGGGTATATTAATAAGATTTATCAGTAAAGTATGATGAAGAAGAAGAAAAATTAATTGACATTATTTACAATTCTTGAAATTTATTTTATTTTTTTTTCTTTTCGTCAACAAACGAAATTAAATAAACTTGAATAAATAAAAAAATGCTTAATTAATATTCTTTAGTAATGACGAAAAAGTGCATGAATTTTTCAACTTTCAACTATATAAGAATAGAGTCAAGCTTAAGTGTGGGTAATTAAAATTCTAGAAATTATTAAACTTTTGATATAACAATAATGTCAAGCTTAAGTATGGTTAAGGAAAATTCAAGAATACAATCATATTTTGTTTGGCATAATATTTTAAAGCCCATTTAATAAATATTCCCATAGAATGATGTAGTGCTTACAGGCCAATTATTAATCAATTCGGCATCCTCCTCTCTTCCACTGCCAGGAAGAAGATATAAATTTCCACTGCAATCCTTTTCAAAATAAACTTTGCCGTCGACGAAGCATCTTCGAAATATCATCAAATTATCCGTAAGAGTGCCAGTTTTATCGGTAAAAAGATACTCCACTTGTCCGAGATCTTCATTTAAATCCGAGCTGTTTACAATCGCAGCTTGATCACTAATTTCGTCGTACATTTCTAAATCCCAACTAAAAAAAAACGATCCCAGAAATTTTTGCATTTCTGCAAGACAAATAATGAAATAATTGTAAGGCTAAAATTTACTTAAAAACACATATGATTATGTAAAAAATAGTGGCTTGGGATTTACCTATTGTTACATAGAGAGAAATAGGCACGACGTAATTAAAAAGAAGCGTAAAGGACAAAAAATCAGTTAGAACATTTCTTATGGGGAAGATAGATAGTTGTCCAAGATAAGTGCTCCAAGTAGCTTTACGCGCCAGTATTATTTGCATTACAGTGCAAAACGAGACTTGTAGAAGGAGAAATAACATAAAGATCCAAAGATACTTATTTATCGACCTGAAATCACGAATAAATTCCTAAATGTATTTCGAAATATTTAATACGCACGACACAAAGGATAAATATCCTTTTCATCAAACGTCATCAACATGTTTTCTTAAAAACAAAAACAAAAAAAAAATGGCCACAACAAAGAATTTTGTTAAAACTTTGTAATAATAATGATAATAATAATAATAATGATAATAATAATAATGATGATAATAATAATAATAATAATAATAATAATAATAATAATAATAATAATAATAATAATAATAATAATAATAATAATAATGATAATGATTAATAATAATAATAATAATAATAATAATAATAATAATAATAATAATAATAATAATAATAATGATAATGATAATAATGATAATAATGATAATAATAATAACAACAACAACAACAACAATAATGAAAATAATAATGATAATAATTTTCTCTTATCTTTTTTCTTTCTTTCTCTTTTATGTCGCAAAATAGCAATAAACAGTGAGTATAATGATTCGAAAATCTAACTTTTCAATGGTTGAGAACTTGTTGATGCTGATTTTAGAATTGAGAGAGAGCTTGGTATCTCGACCCGTGTAAACAGCGCAACCGACAATGTAGTCCGTGTCCTTGAGCCTCGAACCTCTCAGCAGGATATTGTCGACAGTCAGAGGTACGGTATTTATCATAGTAACGTCCTCCTCCGTTCCACTAACCTCTATTCGACCCTCGAAAGCGTAAAGATTACCCATAGGCGGCTGGCACGTTATCCTCCCTTTCATCGATACGATCTCAGGAAGCTTAAGATTTGCAAGTATTTTCGGCACCTACGATTACAATTCGCCTACTTAATCTCTTTGTTTAATCTATATTTTTTATAACAATAATAATACCTGGGATAATGGCCAATGAAACGTTTTGAGAATCGATAATATTAAATGAATAAAAATGATTTGTATTACGATACAAGATTGTTCTCAAATATATAGAATCACTGTTGGTGAAATAAAGCTCATTATCCTTACGCGTTACTCGATACTACATTAATAAATTAATTTTTTGTTGTAATTTCTAGTTGTCATTTGCTTTAAAATACAAGACACTTGAATTTGAAAAAAAAAATATAATAAAAAAAAAATAATTTTTTATTCGTTTTTATATACCTCTAGTAGTTACCTCTAGTATTTTTAAATTTGTCTCGCCATCGAGGTTTGATGTAGTCACGTAACATTTTCCAGAATGCTCGCTACTGTGCAAGATAACAAGATCGCATGGCACATCGCTATCTCGATTCACCCTTACGAGATCACCGACAACAATTTCTTGACAGCGTATTTCCTATAAGCACGTACCTTTTAACCTCTGAACATTCCAAAGAAAATTAAGAAAAACAAGAGATTGAAATCTTAAAGCTTATTTAAACTCTCATGCTTTAATGATGTCCACTTAAAGCATTAAATATCCTCCATGCGTATATCCTTGATAAAGAAATATTTTTTTACCAAAGCCCTTTACCCGCTTTATCAATATTATCCATATTGCTATGTCATGCAAGTATAATTACAAGCATAATTACCTGGATACATCTACGACGAATAACCGAGACATAAATATTATTAACCCTTTTATCGGATCGATAACGAAGGAAGTCTTCGTAGCCCTGCTTACAAGCTGTAACTAGTATGACAAAGAGCAATGGCAATGAGCTTGTAAGTGGAGAAACGGGGGACTCGATACTCATGGCCGTAATTGCACTGAGGAGGAAATAAAAATTTCCTATTCGCCGAAATTGCTCGAATAGATTCTTCGGTATGAAATTCCATAATGTGTACTAAAAGCCAATGGTAATTAATTAATTCAACATCGATCATTCGTAGTTGTTACAATTCTTAAATAGGCGCGTTTAATCAATTGCAATTGATATTCTCGTTCGAGGCTAATCTCTGTCTTACCTTAGTCGATGTTATCCTGTTTCGAGGAAAAGGGCTCCGTGATGCTTCATTATTCCGCTCGATCTCGACAACTCTGCATTCTGAGGACACGGATCTTCCATTGCCCTACAATAAAATTAATTAATTATTTATTTATTTATTTATTTATTTTTTTTTTTATTTTTTTTATTTATTTATTTATTTTTTTTTTTATCATTGTAAACGACCTGAAGTGCATATTATAAAAAATATCAGGGAGAGCGAATAACACGGAACAACGTCAGGCCGTCGAACTGCAACCTCAAAATCATAACTTCAAGCGCTTACAGTTGTATCGAAGAAAGTGGCCTACATTTCTTCTCGGCTATTAAATTCAAAGTAAAGGATCAAATGGATTAACATGCGTCAAATACTGTCGGCCCCGCTTAGGAGCTGCACGCGAATCATAACCACGAGCGTTCGTTGGAAGTCGAGTGAGTCTTTCCTTACAACGACCAACAGCCAATATATCGAATACCTCTACAAAAAATGGCAAAATGATCCCAAATCTGTTCCCAAATCATGGGATGTTTACTTCGGTAAATTCAATGCCGCTGCCGCTACCGCTACCGAAAAGCCAGCCTCCCTCAAGGTCTCCTCCAATCTAACAACCGTCCCATCCAATCTGATGCCTCAGCAGATCAACGATCGTGGGTGTTTTTTAATAATGTGAATAATGTGTATATATAATGTGTCATATCGCAATAATCCGAATGAGTGACACATACAAGACGATCGAAATAGCTTATTTTTTTCTCTCGATATTTTTATTTTGAGTATATCATATCTATTTTAATGCATATATTTTTAAATGATATTTTCTCTCCAAAAATCACCAATGGATTTATTATCTTGTTTTTATTGAGATTATTACAATAATATTATTGCAAAAATTCGCCAAGACTATAACGTAAAAAAAGGTCTTTACGATTGCTCTCTCTATAAATTGAATATTTTTTCAAACTCGTGAAAGCTTCACTGCCAAAGCAGCATTCAATTTATAATAAATTCACTACATTGGTATTACGAAATTCTTAAAAAAAAAAAAAAAAAAAAAAAAAAAAAAAAAAAAAAAAAAAAAAAAAATATACAAATGAATATATAACGGTAGTTTTTAAATGAAATAAAATATCGGTAATATACATAAAAAAAAATAATAAAGTTATATATACATGTGTATATATATATATATATATATTTTTTTTGTGTTTTTGTTTTTGAAACAGCTTTATTAATGTTAGTATAGAAATATAATAATATTGACATATATTAACGAATATATGCTCGTGTGTGCGTGCGTGTGTATATAAATGTGTATGTAAAAAAAATTTCAAATATATATATATATATATATATATATTTAAAAACTGATATTTAAATTTTTTATATACATGATTAATAAATGTGAAAAATTAGTAAAATGAATAAATAAATCGATAAATAAATTTTCTGAAATATAAATGTAACACTTAATAATAATTATATAAATATTAGGTTCTTTTCTTGCATGTAAATTCATAAATGTCAATATTTTCATAATTGAATAAATTTTGTTATTAATCTCTGTAACTAGGTTACGTTTTTCAAAATGTCATAAATCCTCTCTATAAAATTATAAGCAAATTACTTTTATGATAGTGTAAATGTTAAGAGCTTAATTGAAACGTTTTTATTAACATCAAGTATATTAAAATAATTAATTAAAGTATAGAATTTTTGGTTTTTAATTGGTTTAATCAACGCGTACGGGAGAATAATTTTAGAAAAATTAATTTTGATTCTTCGCATAAACTAATGTATTTATACATTTATTTCAATTTAAAGACAACTTATTGACGAAACCGAGGGTGAGATTAAAATCAGAAGCTGAGATACAAGGCGAAGCTTTCCTCGATCATACGCTACATGTTAACTCCCTTATCAGAGCATATCAGGCAATTGTTTTATAAATTGTTTTATTTTAATAAGAATAAGAAATTTTCAAAACATTACTATATTTATTAATTAAACATAAACAACAACGAAAATTAATTTTTGTAAAAAGACTCGAGGACACTTAATAGCAGATGTTGATCCGCTCGGTATACAAAATCCCGAGTCAAAGAAACTTCGTGGGACAAGCGATTTGCCGCCGAAAGTCGTTGTACGCGAACATCTCAAGGGCATTCATGAGAGTGATTTCGATCGGGAATTTCCTCTAGGAATAATCACTGCTATTGGAGGCGATAAGAAAAGTCTGCCACTACGAGAAATAATAAAACGATTGAATAAAGTCTATTGCGGTCATCTGGGCATCGAGTATATTTACATACACGATCCATCTGTTGTAAGAAGATCAATGTCCTTTATTCTATTACATATAAGATGAATTTGCAATTGAAAGAGAACTTTATAGAGATAACACGTAGATTGTAAAGTCGTTTCGATTATAAGTCAATACCTTGTCTCTTATGGACTCTTGGACTTTCTATTTGAAGTTCCGAGCAGGATTTTTTAAGTTAATTTCAATTTGATTAAACTTGAATGGCTTCGATTGTTTAAAAATAAAGCGAATTAAATCGATCGATTATGTATATCCTATCGCAAATTATGAAATTACTTTTTATGCGCATGACAGTCATTTACATAGTTGATAATTCGAAATAGTTGGACTGGTTGTGCAATAAGTTTGAGAGGCCGGGAGCGTGGGAGCTTGAATCCAATCATCGCATATGGATTTGGAAGAATATAATGAAAGCGGTAACTTTTGAACATTTTCTTGCAAAAAAATTTGGACCCGAGAAGCGATTTGGATTGGAAGGTTGTGAATCTTTCATTGTATCCATGAACCAATGCTTAGAAAGCTGCGCAGATCATGGTTGGTCAAAACTAATGAATACACGAACTTTTAATACATCTCTTTAATACTCTTAAATTTCAAATACATATTAAAAATGCTTTAATAAACTTAATTTAATTCCTATTATCCTCTACATTACAATATGAAAACTAAATTAGAAAGTATCTATATTTTTTATTATATTTATTATATATATATATATATATATATATATATATATATATAAAAGGGTAGATTTTTAATTAGTAGAGTCGATCGATCCTTGCGGGGCCGAATTGTGATTTTCATTGAATTATCATCTTTAAATAAATTTTTTTATAATCATAATCTTCACAAGTAATTGTCGATTAAAATGTATCGTAAAGTGTCGTAATTATTGTCTTGAAATATGTTTGCAGGAGTGGAAACAACTGTAATTGGAATGGCACATCGGGGTCGTTTGAATACATTAGTCAACGTATGTTCAAAGCCATTACATCAAATTCTAACGCAGTTTAAGCCTATTAATATCGAAGGATTAGGATCAGGAGATGTAAAATACCATTTGGGAACTTATACTGAAAAATCATTAGAAAGGTTAATGTTCACAAATGTATAATTTGATAAACATATGTGTGCGTCGTTGTATATTACTAAAATCTTAAGTTTGAATTAAATTTAAAATGCTCTTTTACTGAAAAGTGCTTAAATAAATAATAATAAAAAAATAAACAAAAATTTAACACGCAAAACAGATAATACAATAATATAATTTATTAATTTTCGGTAAAGAGATCGTTTAGTATTCATATGTTCTTGAAGATGTAGCAAATTTCATAAAATGAAATAATGAAAATTCACGCCTCCGCTTATATTATTTTCGATAATAGAAGTAACAAGAAAATACATACGACGATAATGGCAAATCCCTCGCACTTAGAGGCAGTCGATACGGTTGTGATAGGTCGTGTCAGGGCAGAACAAGTCGATAAAGGAGATGCAAAAGAAGGAATAAAATCTATCGCTATTTTAGTCCACGGGGATGCCGCATACAGTGGTCAGGGTATTTGCTACGAAACAATGCATTTGACTGACCTTCCAGATTACACGACCGGTGGAGTTCTACATATCGTCATCAATAATCAAGTAGATTGATTAATCTTTTGGTTTTTTGTCAGTTTTTATTTTATTGTTTTTTTTTTTTTTGTTTTTTTTTTCATCGTTAAATTTCCTCCCATACGTGATCGATCCTCTTCGTATTATAACTCTTATTATTACATTCTTCATCATTCTCATATTATAAATAATTATTTAATGTAAGGTTTAAAAAAAAAAAAATTAAAAAAAAAAGAAGAAAAAAAAACAATAAGCTTGTCCACAAGCAACAAGGTGTAAAATCATACACGAGACGAAAAATTCTCTTCCATTCATTTTGCTTTAGATTGGCTTCACAACAGATCCACGATATTCGCGTTCGAGCCCACACTGTACAGACGTAGGCCGAGTGACTAATGCGCCAATTTTTCACGTTCACGCCGACGATCCAGATTTGGTTTCCTACTGCAGCAAAGTCGCTTGCGAATACAGGTAAGCTTATTATAGTAATATTAGCACTCGTTAAATCAATAATAAGTTTATTCGCACTCAGCGCTAAGAGACGGTACCTGACTTAATAATAAATGTAATCATAATACAATCTATATTATATTATAATCGACCTAAGATAAGACCTAAGACTAAGATAAGAATTAAATATTATTATATTTAACAATAAGAGCCGAATTTCATAATGACGTGGTGCTTGATATCGTGGGCTATCGCCGAAATGGACACAATGAGATGGATGAGCCGATGCTTACTCAGCCACTAATGTACAAACGCATTCAATCCCATCCTAATGTACTGAAAATCTACAGTGATAAACTGCTCAAAGAAGGACTCATCGATGAGCCATTTATAAAAGAGGTGCGGCCAAAAAGCATTTAAAAATCTTATCAGCCATTAAAAACTTTTTCTCCTTACAATTATTAAAATTGTATCGTTCTAATCCATTAGCGTAGCTTAGCCACAGCACTTCCATTCAAATACATTCGTAATAGATAAAGTGCCGTCGTATTAGCGTGATGTTCGAACGATGTAAATTCATTATTGTCAAAAATTATGTACTATTAAGCGCGAAAAGTATGAGGCATCATGAGGTAATGAATGAACTCAATTTTCATATAAAGATTTCATAAATTTGATTGGCGCATGAGCTCATGTATTGTCGCATTGAAGGACTACGTGATTAAGCGCAGACATAATACCTTATACGCTGCACGTAGCAGTGTTTTCTCTCTCTCTCTCTCTCTTCACTCACTCACTCACTCACTCACTGTGCATTGATTATCCGGAGCAAATCTTTTGTCTTTCCTTTTCTTTTGCTCTTTTGCTTAAATGAAACTATTGTAGCTTGCCTCGCGTTTCATTATTCTTTTCCTTAGGTAAGCGACAATGAATAGTCTGAGTCAGAATCAACGCCAAGCTCGATACAACATATTGTATAAGAATTACAACCTTCGCTCAACACACGTTTCACTTGTGACAGAGTAAAAAATTTTCAAAATTCCAACTATTGGTAATTTATCCGAGATAAAAATAACGATCTCTGTTCACTTAACACTGATTGATATAATTATTACTATTAATAGAGTAGGAATTTTATTAAAAATTATCATTTGAATTTATTATCGTTATTATTGCTTCATTTTATAATTTTTTTTTCTTTTTTTCTTTTTTTTTTCTATATTAATATTACTACGTTATATTGTACATGTACGACCGTTAGTATTGTTGAAAATTTTATGTAATGTAAAGCAATCGTATTTAAATGCATACACTTAACTATCATTTATAAATTAGTGGTTTATTTTCTTTTTCTTTTTTTTTTATTTTTTTTTTTATTTTTTGTGTTTTTCATCAATTTTTGCAGTAATCATTCGCAATTATTTTTAACTAATCGAGCATAATTCGTTACATTTAATTTGTTACATTTAACATTAATTAGAGTTTATTTTAAATATTTATTAATGAATTGTACCATTTAACTTAATCTCTTGTACTTAAAAGTATACTTATGATCGTTCGAAGTAAAAAAAAAAAACAAACAAAAAAAGAAAAGAAAAAAAAAATTAAAAAAATAGAAGAACAAAAATTCAGTACTTAACTGTCTACAATCAATAGCAATTGAAAAAGGAATATTCAAAATACTATAGTAGAAATTTGTATTTTGTATTTTGATTCTTCAAACACTTGTTGATGGATATAAAGGAAATGAAACTAATTTTACTAATGTAATTGGAAATTATTCGCCTAGGAAATGGAAAAATATGAAGCATACTGCACATCCGAATTTAGAAAAGCTCAGGAAATCAGTACAATGCAAATATCAGATTGGCATGATGTGCCATGGACGGATTTCTTTTCCAAACAAAATGCCAAAAATCCAATTCCCCATACTGGTATTAGTAAAAAAGATATTTTACTGATTTGTCAACGTATTTCCGAACCGCCGGCAAACATCAAAGTTCATTCAATGGTACAGCAATACTTATCATCATTATCTTCTTAAATGTGATATTATTTTGTGAGGCTTAATTGGTGGTTTGTTTGATGTGTGATATAACATTACAAACAGTGCATAACAAATGCAAAATAGCACTTTGTCACATTGTTGTCAGAGTATTAAAAATAAAACACGCGCTAAGAACAAAAGGCAATATATTTTATGTAGATCACGTAATACCGTTTGATTTTCAATTTATAAAATCAAGAATAATAATAATAGCTACTTCACTTATTTTACAACGGATGTAATTACGATTAACTTTTAAATATTTATATTATCTTTTATTTGGTAAAATATGCTTCATAAATATTATTATTTATCTTGAATTTATATATAATGAATATACTAAATAGTAAAAGTTCAATATGAACAAACGAGACTTCAAAATTTTCAATTCATCCAAAATATTGTAAAATATGTCCTTTTACAATTACGATAAGCAATGTAGAAAAAAATAATATTTTTAATTTCTTAAAATTATGTATGTTACTTCACTATACTTGCTCGTTAAATTTTCTGAATCATCAAATGTTGAAACGATTGTACTAATAAAATACAACTATTTCCAATGATAACTAATCTTTAATTTTAATTAAATTTGAATATTTGAATTTTCCATAAAGGACACGAAATTAATAATGATTAATAATGCTATTTTTATCGTATTGCCTCTACGCTTAACGAATTTATTATAATAGAACTTTAAAAATAATAAGCTTTCCCATGCAAATATAATAAATTCTAATAAGCTTATTATGCAAACAATTAAAGAATCTACGAATAAATTGAGATTAATCGTGGAGATACGTAACAATTTATATTAATATAGCTCTTACATGATGTAAGAAATCAACATTCAAATATTATTCTTCCGATAATTTTGTTGATATAATAATATAAGTGAAACACTCGAATCAACATCAGACTCGCATGCACGATAATGATACATTTAATGAATTTTCGTAAAAGTAATTGTTTGCTCAAGGTTTCTTTATTGTCATCATAGCTCGGTTATGCATTTAACAAAACCATTTGACTCGTACTCGATGAGCCATGTACGACTATTTAGAGGCTTAGCGGATCAAGAAAGTTATTCGCCTCTAGATTCATGTCATCGTTTAAGCAAATAAAAAGTCAATGTCTTGTAAAATTGACGATTACATCGACACGGTATTACTACCGCTCGGAAAATTTTTTCCTACTACTCGCATACACGGTACAAATAAAAATAATAGTCCAAGTTTTATGGAGCCTTATTAATCATTCGAATGGCACACGTTTGTCAACCTAGTTTGACTACGAACTTCAATTAACACGTTTTAATACGTCACTAGTTGCTAGTCTTGGTTTTTCCTTTCTTTTATTTTTCTTTATTTTTTAAATAAAGTTGTAGTCGTATCGCCCACTACATAAGCCATTTTTAATCTGCCCGAGAGCTCGTAGAATTATTCTAATTTCCAAAAGATGCATTGGCCAATCTCCCCGAACCAAACCGACGACCAAAGACACGATATTTAAAAAGCACTTGCCCCAGGTCTACCGATTGCTAAACAAACGCCAAAAGCTGATAATGTCCGAGCACATAGACTGGAGTATGGGCGAGTGCCTGGCCTTCCTCAGCCTCCTCAAGGACGGCCATCACGTGCGTCTCTCCGGGGAAGATGTTGAGCGCGGGACATTCTCCCATCGAATGCACATAATCCATGACCAGGAACGCGACAAGACCTGGGTGAATATGTTGAACAACGTATTCCCCAACCAGGCGCTCTACACCGTCAGCAACTCGTCGCTATCGGAGTTCGGAGTCTGTGGTAAGGCAGCCGTGGAATGCGCGCCTCGAAACGAGGTTGCGACCTCAAAATGGCGATTTTATAATGTGCAGATGCCTAAGAGCGCCGAGATCTCTTCTTATTCTCGTAACTGACTGTAAATGGCATTTGCATTAATTAAATAATTACGAGCATTACCTAATGAAAAATCATAATTATAAGGGTATTATAATAGTAATGATATACAGCGAGTACGATCGGCTCATTATCTCGTATCTTTTATTCAGATACGAGACAGTCAGATACGAGAGTAATTGAAATATTCCGTTCGTAGTGCAGTGTACTTTTATTAATAAAAGGAATGAAAAACTAAAGCATACGATTCCTTATGAAACCAACTCGAAATGGTTTGACCGCTCTTTGTATTATAAATTCGCCACTTGATTGCACATCCCATGAAAACATGCATCCTTGCGTGTATATTTATAATTCATTCGCAATCCTTTAAAACGAACACTTAAATTACATAAAATTTACCAAGGTTTCGAGCTTGGCTACTCAACGTACAAACATAACTCTCTTGTAATATGGGAAGCCCAATTTGGTGATTTTGCCAACAGTTGTCAGGTAATGAATACGACACGTTTCTTAATTGCTTTAATTTAAATTTACACTTGTTCAGATTAGATTGTCCGTATTAAATTATGTAGAGCTTGCTAATTGTATTATGCTATTATTCATTAAAATAAAATAAAATAAACAAATAACAAATAATAATCAATGGAAAAAAAAACTCAAATATTAGATATAATATATTTAATCCATATAAAACCATTTGTGTGCTTTGTGTTTTTGCTTTGAGTTTTATGTAGAAACGTTTAATGTTTACGACAATAAAATTATCCTTAGTATCGCCAAGCATGATTCATTCCTACAGCAGTCCACATTCTATCGTATAAATTAATTAATTTTTTAGAAATTATATATCCGAGCGAATATAATAATAATACGCCCATATTGACGCATCTTATCGTGATGTTAAATAAAAATGAATATTTTGCAAATGCAGGTGATTATCGATAATCTGCTGTGCTCGGGGCAATCGAAGTGGGGTAGACAAGTGGGCCTCGTAATTCTGTTACCTCACGGCATGGAGGGTCAGGGCCCGGAACACTCGTCTGCGCGGCTCGAACGCTTTCTTCAGCTCTGCGACGACGACGTTGGCGATTACGAAGTGAACGAGAATCTCGAGAACGCGTCTACGCAACAACTATTCTACATCAATTGGATTGTCTGCAATCTCACTACACCGTCTAATCTCTTTCATGTTCTGCGCAGGCAGATTCTCATGCCTTTTCGCAAGCCGTTGGTACGAGCATACTCTGACAATTATATAGATTATTAATGCTTTCTCAACAGTATTATACAATTTTCCATCGCGTCTCTCTCTCTCTCTCTCTCTCTCTCTCTCTCTCTCTAGTCTTTAAAATAATTCGTACACTTTTATCGATGATTTTAATCAATTTCGTCGACAGCTTTCTTTCTGTTCTCTACGAACAAATTTAGACAAAATTAAGATAGATTTTTCTTTCGTTCAAGCTTCTATAAATATCTATCCAGCTATTTCCATATAATTTTTCTTAAATAAGATAAGTTAAAAACATAAAAGAAAAAGAAACATCGTGAAAATAGATAGATTTCATTGATTAAACAATGATTATTTTATGTAATTCTCATAATTACAGATTACTCATACGTTAATATTGCCATTGATTTAAAAGATTTGAAATTGGCTTAATATTTGTAAATAAACAATAAAGAATAAGCGTCAATAGAGCGTGCCTGTGGATGCCGATAGATAAGGCGGGCTTTAGGTGATTAGCCGCGTGATAAGAGCGACGAGAAGAACTACCTCCTTCCCTTCTCTTTGCTTTGCGATCGTAAGCGATAAGAATAAAATCCCGATTTCTCGTGTAGGTTATCATGACCCCGAAATCGCTGCTGCGTCATCCCATGGTACAGTCGACGTTCGACGAGATCGGGCCCGATACTCACTTCGAGGCCCTTATCGCCGACACGATTGCTAAGCCCGAGAGCGTGAAAAAGGTCATTCTTTGCGCTGGCAAAATTTATTATGAACTAGTCACCGAAAGAAAGGCAAGGAATCTCCAAGATCAGATCGCGATTTTAAGAGTCGAGCAATTGTGTCCATTCCCCTATCACTCGGTCTCCCAGCAAATTGCTAATTATCCTAACAGCAAGGTAATAAATGCACACACGCACACGCAAACACACACGCGCACGAAAACACGCAAACACACACACACACACACACACACACACACACACATACATGTAAATATTTTTTCATTTTATTTTAATGTTTTTTTTTTTACTATTCCCAGCGCATTTGTTTATCGAGATATTCAATTCTTAAAGTCAAATTTTTATTCTTTTATTGATCTCAAAGTGCTTTCCATTGAGTGATATATATCTGATGTAAGACAGAATTTGTTAGTTGTTCTTGCGAATGCGAGCCGAAAACGTCATTGAAAATACGAAAATACGTTTAAAGACCTTTTTAAATCATTTAAATGCACTAAATAATGGTCGATAGCAATCGTTGCAAATTGCTTTTGTATTTTTAAATCATTCGATGTCAATAAATTGCTTTGTTAAATCATTGCACTCGATATCGACCACCGAATTATTTTTAAATTATAATCACAAGCTTAGTCGCGTGTCAATAATATGTCTTGCGACATTAATTGCATTACTACAATCCTGCCAATATTGTATAATCAGAAACATATTGCTCATCGTTAAGTATTTACTGTGTCCTTAAAGCCACACGTATTAACATTCGCGTAAATTAAATGTTCTTACGAATTCCACAACATCGCATCATAAACCTTCGCCTCGACAGCCTCTTTAATGACAATGAACATTCAATGAAACATTAATTAACTTGATTGTAATGCAACCGAAGGTAATGTGGGTGCAAGAAGAGCACATGAACCAAGGTGGTTATCACTATGTTCGTGACAGGATTGCGTTCGCTCTCAAGATACCCCTTGACAATGTGGAATACGCAGGTAGGGCGAGCTCGTCTTCACCGGCAACCGGCAGCAAAATCATCTTCGACAATGAGACCCGGAGCCTTCTCGACGCAGCCATGAAATTGAATTGAAAAACCAAATTCAAGATCGGCAATTTTTACGTTGCACGACACAACCGTTATATATATAATTTATATATACGCATATACGTTATATATACGCATAAAAAAGAAGAGATAGTGAGATAGTGAGAGAGAGAGAGAGAGAGAGAGAGAGAGAGAGAGAGAGAGAGTATCATTATTAGCCATGTTTTTCGATTATTGAATTCAAATAGTTTAAATAGTTCATTCAAATAGTAGATTTTTCATTATCTAATAATATTAAACGTATGATTTTATAAAATTTGTAAAACTGTTGTAATTATTTCGATAGTAAAGTTCGTCTAAGATATACATAAATTTTACTATTACGAAATTGTATAAAATTGATTTTATCAATATAATTAGGATTGTTTAAATAAAGAAAGCCAATTGTTAGAATAAATGATTGAAATTGTAATTAAATGATTTATTGGTTCTAATTTGCTTATTAAATATTAAAGTTAAGTAAACGTAAATTTTCATATACCATTAGAAAATACGTAAATAGATATCGATATGAAAGTAAGCTGAATATTATTTTAGATATAAATACATTGCAAATAGAAACTTACACTTATTTCTTACGAAACTTCTATTTTTTTTTTCTTCTATCATTACAAAGTTTTATTTAATTACATTTACATATTCGCAATAACATTGTTCAAAATTTATTTTATATTAATATTTATTTCAAAGTGATTATTATGTCAATTATTTCAAAGTAAAAATTATTATTAATTCTATGCTAATTATTGCATTCGTGTAACACGAATAAATTGAGACCTTCATAATCAAATCCAATTATTCATAATTTCTGAACAACAAATAAATTAGTATTGGCATTGTACTTATTTTTTGTACGAAATTTTCGTTTCGTACTCGAAATTGACGCTTCGTAATAGAAAAATGTTTCCTATATTTGGAAAACTTTTATGCAACATTCATATTTATTTTATAAATCGTTATGATTATTAAATTTTATATTTTTACGATCTATACAATATAAATTGTTATGTTATATTATTTTATTTATATGCGAGATTAGAAAAAAATTATTTTCATACTATCATTAAAAATTGCAGGATTTAGTTTTTAAATAATATTCAAAACATTAACATTCATCGATTTATAGGTACAATTGAAAGTTAATTACACTTATTATTATAAAAAAAAAAAACATGTATCTGAATGCATACTTATTTTTAGATAGAAATTATGTAGGTGTATATATTCACATGAATCAACTTTGGAAATATAACTTAACTACACGTGATATAATCGTTTAAATGCTGCTAATTAGCAAATCATTCAGGATCGAATAGTTAAGAAACAGATCCGATAGATCTTATAATTATATTAACTCTATCCCATATTAGGGAAAAATATGTTAATTTTTTTTTTTTTTATAAAAATACTTGTTTAAAGAAATTGGAAAAAAAATTATTCAATGATGTTTAGTGTAATAAGAGAATAAAAAGAAGGGAATAATATTTGGCAAAATACAAAATACTCACGTTCTTTAATTTTGCATTTTGCCGATCAACGCAAGGATTTTTCAAGAAACAAGTCGTGGCTGATTAAAACGTAAAAATGAGAATTATTATTAATGAAATGTAAATATTCTAATGAAATTAAAGACAATACAATATCAGATCATTACGTTGTAATATACGGAAGAATTACTTCGACGTTTGTAGTACAAAAAGCTAAAATGGCTTATATAACTGTAATAAAGTAAATTTTCCATCATTATTGGCAATGATTCTAGAACAAAATTGAATCTCTAATAAGCGATACAATTTTCTAATATTAATACGTCTTCATAGTTGTTAAATTTTCTTGAAGTTACAGTTATAGATCATAGAATAAAAACCAATGTCGATGTCACATACAACGAACAAAGTGTTAATATTTTATCATTAGACATAAAATAATTAAATTTTTCTACCATTTAATTAAATGAATAGTTGAATAAAATCACGTTTCCAATATCATCATATAAAATGAAAATTAATGGCTAAACAAATATATCTACACGTAAAATAATTTCACACGTAAAAATATAACAAAAAATAACAAAAATTGTCTAACAAACCGATATTATATATATATATATATATATAATAGATATATTATGAAAACATGTATTTATTGTCATTGTTCACTTATATTCGGCATAAATTATATATTAATTAGTACATAAAAAAATATCGTTTTTGTGTTGATGTTCCAATTTATTGCTTACCATCTGCCAGATTTTCCAAATTACTCCAAATCACTTTTACTAACCGACAGATCGTTATTTTTATTTATAACAACTTGATGAAACGACACTTGTAGGAAGGCAGCATTTTTCTTTGTTGGGAAATCCAGTTGTAACGAAACACGCGTACACTTAGTGAATACTTGTGACTAACTGAAGCTTGATGCGATATTGATAACTCGCTCGATTTCTATTCTTTAGCGGGTAGGGATGTACACGGCTACATGGATTTACAATTACGCGTTTACGTCGAAAGCAAAAATTTTATCTTACAACTCATCGATGCGTGAGACAAGCTGGAATAGAATAAATAAGGTAGAAAAAAAAGCAGAAGATTATATCGTATAAAATCCAATAGTTTTTTTATAATATTCTCAAAACCATTAATGATTTTTTTTTCTTTTACTTTTTTAACTACGACGTTATTCTTATTTATAATTTATCTATCAATACGGCAATACTTTTTACAAGGATCTCGTATACGTTGTTTTTAATTATCTATTGCATTGTCTCGTGTTACGTTTCACTTAAACATTCGTTATAGCGATAAATTACGCGAGGCAAACGTTAATATATTTATGAATTTTTTTTTTTTTTTTTTTTTTGTATTTCGGGAAAAGGTAAGGAATAAAATTTAAACGTGTTAATATAAAAATTTATGACATATAAATATAATAAAGTATAATTATTTTATAAATGTAACTACGTATTTTGTATACATATTCACATAAAGTATACAATGTAATAATACAAGTACTATGATAGTTAATCTGGAAAGTCAGAAGAATTTTAAAGGGGCATAAACAAATAAAGAATTTGTTTTTCACAAAACTAAGCATTCACAAGTCGACTATACGTTCTTCTTATGTTTCACATTTATTCGCTCCTCATAAAACTTACCCAATACTAAGCTTTTGTAATAATAAGATTACAATGAAAAACACATTATAGTAAAAACGAGCAAGTCCTTTCACGCAATGATTATTGGAGATATTATTGACACATAAGTCGTCAATAATTTGCACAGTCCTTTTTATACAGAAGAGTGAATCAACTCCAGTTTATCAAGTAAAAATACGAAACAGATTACGTAAGTTATGTCCGTTACTCCAAACGCACATAATTACATTGATTACGATATATCACGACTAACGCTTCTTTTAAAGGTCATTGAGCGAACTTCAGAGCCACTTGGTTTATTAGATTTATACGTAATTTGATTTCCACTGGGGGTTGGACTTTGTGAGGGGGTTCCACGTTCTTCGTTTCCTTTTTCACGCTCCATGCGCTGTTTGCTGAATTTGCCCATTCCTGGCCTGTATATTTCCATTGTTGGCCGATCCTTTAAAAGCAACGAATTGTCGAATTATTTTTAACGAAATCTATCGAATATACATCGAATATACGTATAGTATTATAGCAAATAATTTTTTTTGCTAATCAATGTCAAACAAAAGTGCTCGATTTCTATTTAATATTGGGCTAATTGAAATTTCTACCTCTAAATTAGATAAATTACCAATGCTTTACAGCCATAGATTATCAGTAAGTAAAATATCAATTTTTTTGTTAAACTCTTAATAATATTACTTAATACGAATACCTTCGTTATGTAATAATTTAATATTATATATCAATAAGATTATAAATTAATGCTCAAGTAATTTTCTTTAATATCGTTCATTCATTTTCTTTTCATTTATTTACCTTGGCTCTTGAAATTAAATGCGCCGACAAAAGATTAAGACTACGACTAAACCAAGAGATTGCTTTATGCTGCTAAAAAATTATTTATCTAATTTTAACTAAATTTTCACGAGACTCACCTTATTTCTAATCCTCCGTTCTAATCGCGGATCTTTCTTATCTTTCTCCTTATCACCCGGTTCAGTCTTCTGCAAATTATTTTCATTTCCTCCATCCAAGGATTTGTGACGCCGTAGGCAGGTACCATCGTGATCACGACTATCTGCATCACTACCACCACCCGAGCCACTGCTTCCGCTAACTTTTACTCCTGTTCCGTTTTCTCCTCCGCTTTCTAACGAACTACGTCTCTTCGTTATTCGGCATTTTGCTGAACTTTTTTTATCAACTAACTCCTCAGACTCTCTTTCATGTACAACATCTTTATCATTGTCTTCTTCGCTAATTGACTGTGTAAGACGCTCGCAAACATCTGTAAAAATAAATGTAACCATTATACTTCGGAATTGTAATTTGTTTACATATTACGTACAGGTGGAGGCGAGTGTATGTTCTATAACGTTCAGTATATATTCTTTCAAATGATAAAATTAGGAACAAAAGAAATTCAATAAAAGACTTTGTTTTTTTTTTTAACTTCATTAACTCCTTTACACGATTCATATATGTACAATTTTACCAAAATTATTCGTTTGCATATTTGAATAATATTTAGAATATTCTAAAACTTTTACAAACTTCACATCAAATTATAACAATAAATATAATATTACATATTTCCTATTGCTTAAATACAATAAATATACTATCTATTATAAACTAAATTTAAAATAAAAAGTCATCTAAGCTTTCACGCTAACATTTCAATGGAATTAGTGGTATTAATAAAAATTAAAATTAAAAAAAAAAAAAAATGAAGAAAAATAGTTATTTTAAAGTAGCTCTGAATAATTTCATTATTAAAATTACAAAAATTCAATTCGCAAATATTAAAATATTGAGCAAAATCTGAACATAAATTTTTTTAATCGTTACATTTCTAAACTATGTAATAAATATAATAGAAATATATGATTTATAATGATAATATTTTGTATAAACTTAAATTATGTTTATTTACATTCACTCGTAATTTTATATAATATTAATTTCATTAATTTTATAATAGTATGTACTTTTTGAAAAATATAATAATCACCTTCGAGTTTCCTATCTGATATATCCTTACTACTGTACGAATCTGCTTCTTCTGTAATCAGAACTATTTCTGTTGTACTTACACGAGATATTTCACTCGATTCCTCATTGTTTGTCGATGCGTCATCATTTTTCGCACCGTCAATGGCTATCCGATTTTTATATTTACTTTTATACTCATTATCGCCTTTCTCTAATGAATTTAGCATACACATGTCTTCATCGTCTCTACCTTCGTTATCATCTGCATTACCATAACTTTCATCAAAATCTTTAAAAGCTGACTCTATAGTTTGTTTCTTTTGTATTTCAGCTAATCTCTTTTTCTCCTGACGCATTTTTTCGTAACTTTTGCCACGCTTTTCTTCCATTTTACGATCCCTGTAGTTTATTTCCTCTTTATCATAAATTCGATCGTCCTTCAAATGACTTTCACGTTCATCTTTTTTGATATAAAACTTTTTATCCTCCAGTTTCTTATTTTGTTTTATGTCCCTTTCTTTAATTCTATCATCACGATCTCTGAAATTTTTCGTTGAAAGCTTGATATCTCGATCTCTGCTCAATTTATCTCGATACCTATCATCCTTTTTATTTCGATTTTTCATGTCCTTCAATAGCATTCTCTCTTTATCATCCTTATTTTCTTTATTTTCTCTGTTTATCTCCCTGTCTTTGTCCCTTTCTCTATCTTCAATGTTTTTTAAAACCTTTAAGAAAACATTTGGAAAACAATATAATACTAATAAATTTGCATATATGAATTATATTGAATTTATAATGAAAACGATAAATTGGCATTTCTTCCTTACTTTAGATACCATCGGCTCGTCTTTACTTCTTTTTCTATCTAAATCTCGTCGACGCTTTTCTTCGCGCTTCTCATCTCTAAGGCGTTGTTTTTCTTGTTTTCTTTGTTTTAAGAAATCTAAAAGTGGCGTTGTTGTCACCCTCTTGGGTGTATCTAATAGAGGGAAATACACAAATTAACAACGTATACGAGTAATTAATGACAGCGAAATAAGAATTTAATCATTAAACGAAGTATATTTTATATTTTCATTTAAAGGGTATATTTATTTTATAAGGATAAAACATTGTAAATTTAAATTTAACATACGCTCTGACAGTTGAAATGAATACTCAGTTTTTGGTTGAATATTTGTTGCATCCACCTCCTGATTTTTCAAACTTTCTAAAAAGGTCATATAATACGAATCGCTCTCGATAGTTCCACATTTTAGATCTTTTTTTTTCCCCACTCTTTTCTTTGGTACTCTTTGAAATGGCGCATACTCGACTACAGCTGCAAATTCCATACCCTTAACATCCACAAAAACATAATTATCAAACTTTTCACGAAATCCAAAAATATCTTGCTGATCGATGAAATCAATGTATGCTCTGGAATAAGCATACTGTCCCAACGACATATCTGCTTTTGCAAAGTACATATAATTATATTCCGGCAATGGAGAAACTTGTTCTAAAAACTGTTCTTGTGTCATAGTTGGGGGTAATCGTCGAATGACAACCTATTCAATGTTAAAATCATTAGATGCTTTAAACAATAAAAGCTTAAAGCCATCCATTGATAAATATAAAAAATACATTTTTGGACAGAAACTAACCTTCGTCATGGGTCGGCATTTCTCTTTTTTTCCTTCTTTAATTTTACTACTTTCCGAAGCGACGTTTGTAATATTTTGATCGGTTTGTTGAGTCGTTACTGACGTTTCAGTCGACTGTTGCGTTTCCTCCGTCATATTTGCTCCGATATCTTTGAATAATAAAAAGAAAAACCACCTTAACCAAGCTATACGTGCATGTCCAAGTAGACACAAGAACTATATATATATATATATATATATATTTTTTTTTTTTTTTTTTGTTAAGAATGCGCATGCGTAAATTTGCAATTAAATGTTATTACTGAATTTTTATGCCATCGCTCGGTACTATTATAATTTAACGTTAATATGTAGTTTCTTCTTCCCCCGAGTCATATATTATCAATACATTATCGCAATGTATGAAGTAATTATTTTAAGAGACTTATTTTTAAGAGACTTTTAACTTTCATTGAAGATTTGACAAGAGGTAAATTCTGCGCATGTGCAATCAATTCTCGCGCATATTGTCGCATCTTATGTTCATAAAAGTCATAACCCTCGGGTTACTTTTAACAAGTTATTGTTTAATATAATACTTCGGAGTACCTACAAGAGCCTAACATGGGTGACATCGAACAAGATAATTCCGAACGGGCTGATGGCGAAAATAATAAAGCCGACAAATTGTTCACGTTAAAAAAGTGGAATGCCGTAGCTATGTGGAGTTGGGATGTCGAGTGTGACACTTGTGCAATTTGCCGCGTACAAGTCATGGGTAAGTCAAGTTAACCATACATAACCTTAGCAACGTAGTCAATTGATTTCATATTTGAATGATTTTATTTTATGATTAGGAAGCTCGAACGAACAGTTTTAATCACATTCGTAAGCCCTTCGATGATCTAAAATATTCCCATGAATTGGTGCAAATTTTTTTTTTGGAACTTACGTGTCTAATTGGTAGGTTTTTTAACAATTGATTTCAGTTATTTTGATGAAAACAATGAAAAAAATGTTTATGCCTTGCTCGTTAAGTATTTACGTGTATACTTTCAACAAAAGTGCATTATATTTTCAGCGTATCAGTTTGCAAAGCCAAAGATTTAGTGACTAGCGAATAGGAAAAATAGTTAATATTTTCCCAATCTTATCTAAACACTTGATACATCTCTATTCCATCGATTAATTATATAATCGCAACAATGTTTCTTTATCTGTTCTTAAAGCTTAATTTAACATACTCGAATAATACAAATGTATGATTGATGTTCAGAAAATTTCAATTAATTACAATACTTACTAATAGTTATGGAAATATGTTGTAACAATTATCAAATATAACCATACTCGAATATCGGTATCATTTTCAGTTAAACGTTAACCCCTGCATTAATATTCTGCATACGAATATTATTCGTGAAAAATCATTTAAATACTTTGTATAATAAATAGAAATAATAATTATTTATATCTATCAAGAATGAAAAAAAAAAAAAAAGAAGAGATATAATAGGTATAATAATATATATAAGTCTTGTTATAAGTAAAATAATAAAAGTTAAAAAAAAAAAAAATAATTCAACTTGGATGGGATTGCAAAGAAACACAATATATGAAAAAAAATTGTTCTTTATTGTTACTATAATTTTAAAAGTATATACACTTTGTTTATCATATAAATTTACTATAAAATGGTTATTTAAAAATAAATGTAAATAAGAATTGTTTTGAATAGTATTAATATCGTACATTGATAACTTTGTTCTTTTAAATTTGAATATATTCAAACAGGTACATTTATAGAAAATATAACAACAATAAATATGAGATATGATAATTTTTATTAAAAAAATAGGCATTGTTTCTTAGATTATTAAAATATCACTAGATAAAAATAAACTTATTTATACTTGGAATTATTAGATATCACGTTTTAACAAGGGATTAAGTTGTAGACTGAAATTCCAATATAGAGTAAGGAGACACCTTTGGATCCATTTTGCTCATTAATCTCTTCTTAAATTTATAATTATATAGAACTTCGTGATATTGTATTAAAATAAAATACATCGTATATATTATATACTTAGTTTTTAATTTAATATTTTATTGAAGTTTCAGTGTTCTTTTTGCTTATTCTCACTTACTAGTTTTATCTCATAACAGTTTTAAATGCTAGTTTGACGTTCTATTGTAATTTAAAAAATTTTTAAACTAAAATCTAAAATATTACAGCGTTACATCGCTCCATCAATGCTAATTAAAATTAATCGTGTGGGAGGATGGGTGGGTGTAAAATTATACGTCTGTACACACACACGCACGCACGCGCACACGCGCACACGCGCGCGCGCACACACACACACGCACACACACACACACATATATATATATATATATATATATATATATATATATATTTCATTATATACACAACTATCTACATCTCGAAATAAATTCACCAGAAGTATAATACGAAAATGAAATTTCTACGCAATCCTCCAACTATATACATATTTTGAACGTAAATATTAAATATTTATTCATAATTAACACTACGTATCGTAATATCGCACCCTGGTTTTTTTGTAACCAATAACGCATTCTTACATTCGTTACAAGCTCCATTGCCTATAAAGTGTTCCAATTTATACGCATAATATTATTGGCATGAGGTAGACCCTGTTTAGGATTGTCGAACAATAACGAAAGATATACATCTAATTAACATCAATCACTTCGTGATCGTTATTCAAATATTATTTCTCTGCTTTTTACTCCGAGTACCACCCAAAAATGTTATAATTACATGTTACGTTTCGCCAAGTAATTTTCGTACCAATAATCTTTACGTTATTAATATTGCTCTTCCTAAAATTACAAATTAGGAACGTATTCGAGATTCGAATGGACAACAATGAAACGATATTGCAGTACCGAAACACCACCGTGAAAACTTGAAGCTTGAACTCATTTAAACAAGTTATTCAATGAATATAAATGTCAAGTTTCCATGACTAAAAAGTCTCACGAGATAATCAACTCTTGATGATCATAGCTAGTATTTTCATTAGTATATTAAAAAACAATTATCATACCACAATATCTATGAGCCTCGTTAAAAGTTGATCTAAGTATCGGGCCTTTTTTTTATCGTAACATCATATAATATACGGATATATTCAACATTCTTATTAATCATAGTATCAAATTATCAGTAAGTTTCATCAAAATCTGTAGAGAAGCATTGCATTATCGATTTCTCGAAACGAAATAAAAGATGTGGGGGCGGGAGGGGCGGTCGGGGTGGAAGGGGTGGCCGGAATGAAAGTTCTAAACTTTCAATCTCGTGTCTTCAATTCGCAAATCCTTATAGAACTAACATTGGAACTATGAAAACATTGGCCGTTTGACACCCGGGTGGCAACAACCGAGGTATCCCTTCTAATAAAATATTTTTCTAATAAAACATCCTCCTCATAGTATGCTCATATTCTCGACAAGTTTCGATGACTCAAATAGTAAGTTATATCCTTTAACAAGCCATAGGCGTAGGCTTCATATTCGCAACTGCGCTCATTCTCCTCACAGGTCCAGTTAATCCACGTTCGATTTCTTCAAGCGATCTGCCACTCGTCTCTGGCACGCAACAGATAACAAATATAAGACCAATAATGCAAATTACAGCAAAAAGCCAGAAAGTGCCGTGTTGATTTATAATGGTCAAAATATCCTGGAAGGTTTTTGTGACAATAAATGTACAGGACCAATTGAAACTTGTTGCTACGCTTGCAGCACTGCCTCGGATCTTAGTTGGTAGAATTTCGCCCATCATGAGCCAAGGGATCGGGCCGAATCCAAGGGAAAAACCAATGACATAAACGACAAAGCTCGTGAGTGGAAGCCAACCGAATGACGTTACGTCAACACTGTTTTTCTTCATGTAAAAGAAGCTACCGAGAGTTATTAAAGATACTATCATGCTAACGCTGCTCATATACAGGAGCATTTTACGGCCGAGACGATCGATTAATGCTGTCGCTACAAACGTAGAACCGAAGTTAACGATGCCGACGATAATTGTACTAAGATTCGAGTCGATAGTGTTCCCTGCATCCTGCAATAAAGACAAACAAAATTTTAATTACTTTAATTAATTCATTACTTATTTGACCAATTTCGTATTAATATTAATATAATGTTAAAATATAGAGTAACAATTAGAGATTACGAAGAAGAATATAAATAATTTAATTAATTAATTAATACGTGGATTAAGGCACATTAGCAGCAGTTAATTATGTATCGGAGAAAGTTTCTCGAGTATAACGAGATTCATGAATAAGATGTTAATTTATAACTTTTGACTGAAGAAGCAAAAGTTTGAATTGAATATGTGGAGAACGGTAGTTTTATAAGGACAATTGGCTTTTTCAATATTAATCGTACATTTAACATGATGTAACGAAAGCTGTCTCAGCCAATAATATCGCTGCATCGTTCTTTTAACTTAGTTACTCACCTCAAAAATTTGTACCGTGTAGAAAATAACGGCATTGATGCCCGACATCTGTTGAAAAAACATAAGCCCAAGCGAAATCAAAAGTGGCTTGAAATTGCTACCCTTAAACAGCTCGGATAAAGCGCCTTGTGAAGCTTGTCTTTCGCTCTCCACGTGTATTTTTTCAATAGTCGTGAGCTCGTCAAATATGTCGGCGTCTTTTCCACGTAGCCATTGCAAGGACTTGCGAGCGCGTTTTGTTTTGCCCTTGGAAATGAACCAGCGTGGAGTTTCGGGAATGGTAATCATCAAAAGTGCAAATGGTACCGGCAATATGGCGCCGAATAAAGCCAATTGCCACCAGTTCAAATACATCCCAACGGTGAAACACAGTAAAATCCCTGGAAAATTAAACGTGTTTTCCTAATGCAAATTTACAATACTATATAGGTTTGTTGTTTTTTTTTTTTTAATTTTATTAGAATTTTACTGCATAAATAATTTAATTTATAATAATTTACTACATGATAAAAATGCATATTTATTACATATAACAATAAATATTCAAATCGAACTAAAGCATCATGAGATAGTGAAAGAAGTTCGTTTTAGCAATTAATTTTAAAAATGAAATTAAGGAAGATTGCAATTCTGAGAAAAAATTACAATTTTGTTAAAATTACAATTAACGTACCAATGTTACCAAAAGCAGTGGGCAACAATCCCAATGAACCTCGAACTTCTGGTTGAATTGTTTCGCCAAGATAAACTGGTAGCGAAAGGGAAGCGATTCCCACGCAAAAACCACTTAATGCTCGCCCAATTAAAACCATGGAGACATTGTAGGCAAAACCAATTAACAGCCAGGCTGAAATCAATTAACTTAATATTAAAAGTGCCTGGATCGTTAAATAATATTATATCTCGTTATATAATATATTATAAATAATATATTCAATCGTTGCTTAAAAATTTAATGATTAAATTGATGAAACTTTTAATGATTAATTAGAAATTAATAATAAAATTGTAATATATATATATATATATATATATATATATATATATAAACGTGTATTTACGTATATGTGTATATACGCATTTAAAGTCAATTTCGATTTATTTCGATAGATTATCATTAAAAACATAAATCGTAAAAGAATAATCACGTACGAATCGGTATGACGTTTTTACAATTATAAAAACCTTCGTCAAATGTAAATAAGTACAAATAAAAATCTTTAGCAAGTAAATCGTTGGTAAATAGAAATACAAGAATTATATTTTAATAAATTTCTTGTTAAATTTCTATACCTAAGCCCATAAATTATCAATAAATAATGAAATAATTTTAAAGACAATAACTGACAATTTATTAGCGGATGTTTTACACTTATGAATTATACTCGTAAATGTATTGTCGCGAAACCTTAATTATATATCATATAAAAGAGAAGTTAAATAAAATAATTCTATTAATTGAAACAAATAGAATTCCAAGCATTATTATAATATTATTCATTTCGATTTAATTCTAATATAAAATATTCTTAATTTAATGGTTTCAACCTTTATATATATATAACATTTATAAAACTAATATTATTAAAATAATATCGAGACCAAGATGGTTACTTACCAAAAAAAAATGGGAACGCCGTAAAAAGAATGGTATTTCTTCTCCCAAGGTACTCGATTAAAGGACCTCCAGCGATTCCACCAAATAAAGCACTAAGTGGCATAATCGAGCCAATCCACGATCCCTGAAATGAAAAAGTATGTGAACATCAAACTAATTAATTGGACTTTTACATTTATTAATAAATTTACATAAAATAAATGTTGTATATTCTCTCTTGTATTAAAAGAATTTTATTAGATTTTTGAATATTTTAGTTGAAAACGATAGCTTTTACCGAGAATGAAAATACAATTGAAATAATGGATATTATAATGGTAATAAAGTTGATATTTAGAATATTAATATTAATCTAATTTTCTTACAATACACAATTACAATCTTAGCAACTTAAAAATAAACAAAAAATTATAAAAGTAATTATTTAACGTAGAAAAATTAGTTACAAATAGCAATAAATAATATAAATATCAATAATGCCAGAAGGCAGCATTAATTGTAAAAACTTATTTAGCCAAGCAAGTCGTCTAAATCACCCGATTTTAATATCAATATTCTTGTCGAGTTTCATAAAAATTTCATTAAACTCATACTCAACGCATTGACTAATGAAACTAAAGATAAAGAATGCAGATTACAAAAGAATTAGTTTGTCATGTATTTGCAAGAATGAGCTTTGGAAATTAATATCCGTAAAGTTTATAAAATAGATCTTTTAAAAAACAGGAATTTTCATTATTGTTTTAAGATACCAGCATAATCTAAATTAATTAGTTTTTTTTTTATAAATTCTTGTTTACTTTTTTCTTTATACAAGATCATTCAATTTCAAAATAAAATACTTTGTTTTAATAGATTTTGTCATTAAGTATAGGCACAGTTGAAATATAAAAACAAATAACAAATAAATGTAATTTCTAATAATGCAGCGAAAAAGATAAATATGTATAAATTAAAAAACAAATATATATATATATATATATATATTAAAAATATATATTACACAAAAAATATATCTCTTTTGAATGTTTGTAAGCTTGATTGTTGAAGGTAAAAATTAGAATGAGCCAGGTAGCTTTCTGCATATCCACTTTATCAATAATATTTTATTTCACTATAATACATCGTTATGTATAACATAGCGTAAACAAAATGTAAAACATATTAATTTACAAAAGAAGCCAAAAATATCAACATTAAAACGAAGAGACGATTTTCTCGAAACCCCATACTAGATGCTTTTTAATGATATTCACATCCCCCGTCCATTAGATGATTTAATAGAAAAAAAAAAAGGACAAACGGATGGTCGGTTGCAACTAATGTGAACGTGAATCATAAACCTCAAATTGACATGTGATGCATTTTATTGGCCGATCAACTGATTCAAGAGCAAAGAAAACCTTGTGTGACCTTGTAATACATTGAATTTTCCAACGTATTCCCATTTACTCACATGCAAAAATAATAAAATTATTCTCTACTTTCTCTTTACCTATAACGCTCTTCTACATATATTAATGTAACCCATTGTTTTCGCTCGCCTAAAGAAAAATATTCTTAGCCAGTTGCATTCTTTATAATGTTATACGATCTTTTTAAAAATAATTTTTTTCAATAACAACTAGTCATAATATTAAGTCAACAATTATATAATTGCGTAAAAACAAATGAAAAAGCTTTATCAGAATTTATTTTACGAGAACAATAGAACGTAATTAATAAAACTCAAAGTACTATCTGCCATTATGAATTGATCGACTTTTTCCAATTATAATAAAACTATAATCGAATAAGAATCATTTTCATGTCTAAATGTTATTGTCTCGTGTTTCAATTACAATGATGTTGTCAGGCTTCAGAATTTTAAATATTAATTTGACATATATTATAAATATTATATGACATTATATCTGAATTTGTCTATTATCATAATTATACTATTAAACGAAATTATTGTTAAACAAATAATAATTTTCTGATGCTACTATATTATGAATCTTACTTTATCATAAACAATCATTTTACCATAATATCAGCAAAAAAAAAAATAAATATAATAGGAATTATAATTATTAAAAATTTATGTTTTAAAATGCTAATACAATACACTAAATTTGAATGTAGAATGTAAAATGTAAATTGTAAAATCTATTAATTTTGTAGTCCGAAGTTGAATTCGCTACTAATTCTTTTACTTTCTTGCTTACTTTGATTACTTTTTTTCTTTTTACCGCCGGGGATATCACTCATATAAATCTTTGCACTGATATGTTTTAAGAAGGAAATAAGCGATAAAGAAAAAATTGTTATACACTTATCGTGAATCTGGTCCCCTTTTATTAATATAAATATAAACATGCAAGCACATTCATGTTTATAATAATAATAAATGGCTTTTTACATCGTAGTTTTCCAATTACGATTCATTGTAACTTCCATATGAAACAATAACAACTTGTTAGGCATCTTTTGAGCATACAATAAATACTGATATACTTAGGCCAATTGTTGCGGTTTTTCAACCGGTAAATCATTGCTAACGATGAATATTTATGATGATCATGAGAATGAAAGTAACGAGCCTCGTACTGATGTTTATGTTTGCATCTATTATTACATGTACTTATTTATTTTTAGTGAATTCGATAAAAGAAAATTGTTTTTAAAAAAAATGACTGTTACAGCATTAATACTATTTTTACTTTTTGCACTAAATAATGATTTACGTAATATTTTTTATCTGAATTTTTTTCTTTTCTTTTTTTTCTTTTTTTTCTTCATTATTAATATTGTATTAAAAATTATTAGTGTCCGATACTGATATTAAACAATCTTAATTACATTATTTCTTTATTTCCATAGTAATTGAAAGTATTAACTAATATTTTATAAAGAATAATTTGATTTATAATATAACCTCAAGCTATTTCTACTCAATTAGCTTATAGCTTTTCTCATATGTATAATGCATATTATTAAATAATGCATAAAAATCTAAATATCCATCATGTTTAATATAATTAGAAAATCGATTAATTAAAAAAAAAAATTGCTCAACATGTGACTTTTAACGTCACTGCAGTAAAATCTTTAGTACATAAATTCACGTTCAATCGAGATTTAAGCTTAAATTTTTTCGCTTTTACCATTCATAATCCAACTGCTTATACTTACGATATTCGGTGTTACTACAAATTGAGTCGTAATGCTGGAATTTTTCATAGTATTGAGAGCAGGTGATGTGTACGACGATGCAAAGCCAACAATCATTGAACCGAGGGATACGGAAAAAGCTGCCAACACCTGGAAACATAAAAAAAAAAACAAAAAAACAAAATTGTTATTGAGTTTTATTGCTACGCAATTATTATTAATTATTTATATGCATATCATTATAAATGATATTGACAATCGTCTAGAGCGAAAAAGTGGCAACCAACGTACTCAATGTACTCAACAATTAAAAAAAGTATGTAATTATTTCATCTTTTCGTAGGCTGCCGTCAAATCAATTGGCTCTTGTTTTTATTTTTTTTTTTTTTTTGTTTTTTGCAAGCTTAATTAATTTATATAACTAATCGATATTTGTCTATAGATTATATTTATAAATTAGTCGATAATATTTTATAATTATCGTCCCTTGATTTTTAATGAACGCTATAAATAATGATTAAATTCCCTTCGATATAATATAAATTGACATTAGAAGAAAAAAAAAATCCACGTGATTGGCCATATAATGTTCGACGCCCAACGAACCTATACAATGTTCATTAATGTGTTGAGAAAAAAATTTTCTCAAATTCATAAATTACTCTAATATTGTACCTTCGTATGATATATTTGCCTTTAATTTATTCTAATCAACGAATAATAAGGTACGCGTATCTTATAAACATTTTGCCCTAGACTGCAAAACATAATAATATTAATATCAATATAAGTACAAATCAATATATTGGTTTAAAGAAAAACAAAAAATATCACTCAGCTTCAGTGAGAGTCAAGTGCCAATATGGAAAGTAGTAGTGAAATTTAAGATATAACACGAATCAAAACAATGGCAACTCGTTCGTTTCTAATAAATCTATTACAAATTATCATAAATACATTCACGGGAGCGCGTGAGAGAATCGCATTCCCAAAGTGTCACGTTCTTATGATAAATCGTCGAGCAGCACCAAGCATCATTTACAAATTCCTCCGTTGTCTTTCTCAATTTGATTGCGTACCTGTGAAAAGGTACACTTAGCCACGGGCGTGTTACCCGGTATCTCGATATTCACATGAGTGTCCGCTCGCATCAGAATCTTCATCTTGGCGGTGATTGCTTGCGCAATGTCAGATATTCAAATGAACTTGTATATGATTGCACTTTAAGACGATCTTACTGGAAGCGCATCAAAAATAATCGTCCAAGTATTTAATACACACTGAGGAGTTGGAAAGCTCGTGAGCCTTGCAGCTCTCGTTGTTTATCAATCACCAATCACGAGGCACGTGTAAGCATACTGGATCACAATATATTGACAATAATCAAAGAATGGATAGTTTACTTTGCAATGGTTCGCGCGTATGAGAATGTGAATATGCGTATACCGGAATACACTCTTCGCGGATTTCTCGAGACTTGTCTTTTATAGAGGAAGGTTGACCATTTCGACCCCTTCCTTCGCGTACATCTCCTTTTCTCCTCCTCCTCCTCCTCCTCCTCCTCCTCCTTGCTACATCTCGCATCTCTCTTGTCACAAGCGCCGTCCTTGCATATGCGCACTGACTTCATGTCTAAGTGCACGTACATATCGACGTACTTTTTTCTTTTTTTAACATATTAGCCAAGATGCATTTTACAATGAAAGATATAGCCTCATCGCTCGAACTGTCGGATGCACCTCGTACTTATTAACTGTCATTGTTCTTTTCTTTTCTCTTCGTTCATTGTATGTATTCTAGACACGAATGATAAACTGATAAATTAATCTTTTAATCAACGTAGGCAATAGTGGCTCTTCTTTCGTTACCAACTTCACCAAGCTCTGGATCGCATTATTATTAATTCATTTTATCGGTAAATATCAATGCCATTCTTTACTAATATATCAATGCGATTATATTATGATTGCGTTATTGTATTGTTTTATTTGCTTACATCGATGTTTAGCTTAAATATATCGAGTTGAACTGAAAGAATGAAACGAAATTTACTTTCAATGCCTTTGAAATATTGCGCTGCCACACAATATACCACAAGATCGTTAATTATTAACTTTACAACAATCACTGAGCATTTCTGCAATATATTAATATTTGATACTTTGATCATTTTGTTAATATAACTGACTTTCTATGCAAATTGTAAAATTCTAATTATCTATGTAAGTGCATTGATTTGCTATACAATAAATTGTATAGCATAACAGTTTGCTAAGTAAGCTCCTGAATTCTAATTTTAATTCATGCGCGCATTACCACGACTTTTTACGAACAATAAAGCTTATAAGGTTCCGCTCAGCAATTATTTTAGTCGGACATTTCCAGTCATTTTCTTTGTCATTAAAATAACCTACATTAAAAAAAAAAGGAAGAAAAAAAAAAGAAATATAGCAGATATATATCGTAATGTCTACCGCAAAAACAAGGTCAGATTTTAATATTTGTTTATACACAAAACAGTTACATAGGCATATTACATTAAAGGAGCTTACTTGGCAATCGTCAAGTGAGTCTAGTGAAAATACGTTCTCACTCGCTCTAAGCCCCCATCGCCTTCTCTATACTCTTCATGTTTCTAATTAATTAAAAATTTCCCAAATACATACCCATTGATTCTCTCAATATTATTGTTTCATTGTTTTTCAATTATTACGGAGTTTTTTCTCGACTCTTCATTTCCTTATTTTATTCACCTTATCAATGTGGCATATATGTGCCTGGAGAAATCAGACCAAAATAATCTGAGTCATATTTTTTCCATGATAAAAACCTATTTTAAAACGAGTCTTCTTTTTCTTTTTCTTTTTTTTATTTAAAAAAAAAAAACATATAATCTGTAAGCGACATATTAACAAATCATTAGTTTATTAATTTTTGTTATGTAATAATAATATTTAAAAAAATCGATATATATATTTTTTTTTTGCATTCAACTTACTTTCATTAATTTAATGTACCAGCAAATAAAAAAAATAATTTTGTTTCATTAAATATAACTTTTCCAAAATAATCCATAGTAAAAAGATAATTTGTTTATAAAGTTAAAGATTAATCATAAAGTCTAAAACGATCGATTAAAGTATTTATAAGCAGTATTTTATAATCAACGTCTTATTATATTATTACAGAGGGCTAAATACTATTCGACGGTGTTCAAAATAAATTAATTATAATAATCATTTAAATAATTAACTTTCAATATAAATATGGGTAGATAATTATTTGTAAACTTGAAGATAAAAAAATCCATATTGAAGGAGTAGTCATTCGGTTTGAGGAAGTTTAGTGTCAATTGGTAGCATTGATTTTTTCTTCACATAATAATTTTCATTTGTTTCTTTTTCTTATAATATACACGCGTAAACTCTTTAACTATTATGTCGGATAATTTATTTCAAATTTTTTATTTAAAATGCTACGTAATATAATATTTACAAAGATAATTGCAGCCGTAAATATCAGATTTTAATTTATAGCTTGCAAAATTTATCTCAATGCCTTGATAAAACCTTTAACATATGGTTATAATATATTTCTATTTTGAAAATCCATTATTAGAACATTTTGATTGTAAGAAACATTTACGTTAATACTTATACGCGATTCTTACTGAGAATAAAAAGATTTTTTTAATTAATATAATTATATTCAAATAATAAAGTGTTGGTTCTATAATTTACATTTAATTGAATTCTTATCAATATGCGCATTATAGTAGTTAAAATTTTCTTAGATATAGCGTGCACTCAAAATCGACCTTTCCAATAGTTTTAAAAACATGTTCAATATATTTATATTTTCATTCAATCATTTACATATAAAATTCTTGCGTACTTTAGGCCTATTCCAGTATCTTACAATATTTGATTTATTAACGATATAATTTAGAAATCAATAATAGCAAGTCTCTAAATTCGAATAAATTTAATTTGATTTCCTATTATAAATATCTATAAAATGAACAAAAAGAATTGAACAAATATTATGAAGTCGCAATAGCCATAAGAGTAAATTTACTTCTGCTTTCTATAAATTAATTGAACATTCTCGTACTTACGCCTTCGTCGTTCTATTCCATTATCGATCACGAATACTAACCAATATACGAAATATGCTCTTATTGATAAAAAATAATCCAATAATCTCACGAGTATTTTGGTAAATGCACGTTTTCCTCAACACTTACGCAATTTCATTACGCAATCAAATTATCCTAATTGTGTAACGAAAATATGACTTGGCTCAAAGTATAATTTTCCACACATAGTTCATCACAGATGTGTGTGTGCACTATTATCCAAATCAAATCAAAAATATTAATCTTTAATAAGTATACATTATTACGATATATCCGAGTAAACCAGGAGGAAAGTGTAAAAAGAGGGAGAAACTCTTTTTGGCCGATCGCATTCGCGTCTCTTCTACTCGCAACAAAACCAACTTTTCAATACCTTTCCATAAATATTGTTCACATTTACTATCTCGAAATACATTTAAAATACAGTTAGGTAACATAAATTGCTCTTGATTTGCTTATAAAATTTATAATTATACATGCATTATATATATATAAAAGAAAAAAAAAATTAAAAACCACAAGAGATTCGAAATACTGAGGGGGTAAGTTCAATTTCCATGGAATACATCAAAAGATTCGATCATTTATCTTTGCATCGTACCAGAAGAAACGAAATAATAAATACATTTGTGCATAGATAAGGTAATAAGTACGCATTAATTACTTAATAAAAAAAAATAAATAAATAAACCGGCTATCGGCAGAATTTTCCTTGTATTTCTCATAATGCAACTTCTATTGTAGATAGACAGATGCGAATAAAGTAAATTCATATGATTTGTTTACACTTTATGATTCTTTGTACTGTATAATAAATTTTTTATAAGTCCTTTCTACTTTAACCTTACAATTTTCTAATTAAATTTCATTCTCTAAAAACATATAAAAAACAAATTTATCAACAATTGTTTTTTCTTTTACCGCATTAATTAATCTTTTTTCACATTTAATTTCATACGTATGGTTGTTTCCATGTATACAAATAATATCGTAAAAAACTTAATTGCCTTATACATATATATATATATATATATATATATATATATTATACTTTAAAAATATATTATATAAAATAATATATAAATACAACTTATTTAATATTACTTGAGAATAAAAAATTCGTTCCAAGTATTTTAAGAGAAAATATTATAAAAAACAACTAAATCCATTAGTTTATTTTTTAAATTATTTATTAATTTATCGAGTAAGAAGTAATTATTATTATTAGTTTATACTAGTCATTTCGAATAATACGTGTAATTCACTCAACTGAAATATCTTCTCAAAGACAATTAAAATTATTGGTAAATTTTTTAAACATCATTCCCTTCACTTTGCACTGTATACTCTACAAATTTTTGGAAGCAAAAGCAATTTAATATGTAACGTCGTCTGGTAATTATTTGTAAAGTGCATCCACTTACTTCATAATTAATCCGAATCAAAATGAAAAATCCCCTCGATATAACGAACTTTATTCATCTTCACAACTACGTTAAACAATATCGGTCACATACACATGTCGGTAATTGATAAGTTTATTTCCATCATAATGTCATGCGTAGAGTTAGGATCTTCAGCTCAACTGCGAATTTATAATCTTATTTTTTTGATAATTTTTTTTTTTTTTTTTTTTTTTTTACTTTAATACGTGAAGCTTATTTCTTTTTATTGGGTAAATTACTTGTTAAGTGCTAAAATCACAAAATAATTTTAACAAGTTTTTGTAACTAATTCAAGTATTTGAATTAGATTTTTTTGCTCGACAATTCATTCTTATTTTTAATATAAAATAAGACCGTAATAGTTAAAAATTGTATTCTTAAATCAATTGTTAGAAGAGGAGTTTTATGGCGCATAAAAATTCTCTACTTATTGTAATAATTAACGACATCTTTGTATTCAAATTTCATATATATAAAAACTATATATTATGAAATATTATTACTTCAATTTTACTTTACATTATAAGAAGTAATGAGAAGCTATAGAAAAGAATTTATAGATAGAAAGAAATGTAAAATAGCTAATAAAAAGTCGTATCAATGCTTGTTGAATTCCAATAAAATAACAAGTCTATAAAAATAAAAAATAATACTCTCCTATAAATGAGCATAATCTACAGCTTCCCAGCCCAATCGAGCCCCCCCCCCCTCTCTCTCTCTATCTCTCTCCGTGCGAGCCGTAAACAGAACGTCATCTAAAAAGATATTTAAGCAGACTCGCCTTTCCCATCATCATTCATCATTTTTGTCAAACACATTTTTTCTAGTTTCGCGCTACATGACCTTTTTTTTAACATTTACGTATACAAGTGAAACGTTCAATGCCAATCCTTGAACACGATAAGAACCACACATACGGCCAAGTAGTTCAATGATAGATGATCTATCGACTCTATTGTTCTTTTAGAAATGAGGAAGTACAGTAGCCAATTGCAATGTCTTCGGGGCCGATTTCAAATTCGAGCCTTTTTTATTTGCATTATTGTGACTTGATTTTTTTGTTCGTGCTTTTTACTTCCTTGAATAACATTATAATCAATGATAAACATTATTGCAACTTAATTAGTTAAATGGACTCTAGGGGATTTTTTAGATTAGACGAAAAACATTATATGTCATATTTAATATTTTGAAAATGATTGGTCCCGTTTTATAAGCTAAAACTTGCATTCGCTTTAATTTTTGGGCGATGTGAGTTAATAATTTTTTACATCTAAGGCTTTAAAATAAATGAATACCTTAATCGTAGTAATTAATGTTACTTTTGAATAATTTAAAGTTTTCCCGTCTTTCTTCTGTCATTAGCTAGAGGTGACGTGATATCTATTATATTTTTGGCAATTTTCGACATTTTGATAAGTTTTTTTTATATTATTAATAAACAATAAATAAAAGTAATATAATTTGAAATTAAAATCTCATCTTAAAATGTATTCATAATATCATCAATTTTTTCACATAAATGATGTAAATATATTTTATCTATATTAAAATATAAAAGAATTCAAAAAGTTTCTTTTAGATTTTTCAATTGGCAATAGGCATTAGATATTTTTATCGAATTATTACTATTTAAATGAATATTTTGTACATAGGCTTTATTTACATAGGCTGTTATTTTTTTTATTAAAAAATGTAAAATAAAAATAAAAGTAAATGTATCATCAAACTGTGTTATTAATATTCTGTTAGTGTTTACTTAAAATATTTGACTAATTGATACTTAATCACCAGCATTACATGTAAATTAATAGTTGTAATAATAATAACATTTTAGGAAGATTAGACTTTTTAAATACTTTTTTTTTTAACTTGTAGAAACTTTGTGAAACTTTGTGCATCTAATACAAATAATACTAATGAGTGAAAGATAGCATAGTAAGGTAGAGATCCTACTTGAGTGAGGTAGGAGTTATTCTTGTTCTTTTCCTTCTCAAATTGTGAAACGGTCATCCTGACAACCGCTTCGGACTTTTTGAAATCCTGTGAATCCATGAGGATCCGAGTATCGGATATCTGGTCAGCCTTCTTCAAGAGCGAATCAAGTTGTTTGTAGTCCACCTCGCGGTCCTTACGCAACGGATCATAGATCTGTGAGCCGTTCAATGTCCTATGATGATTGTTACGCAAGTTATCGGCATAATAATGTTGCTGGTTAGTTTTTAATTCCGTCTGTTGCTGTTTTTGCTGTTGTTGTTGTTGTTGTTGCTGCTGCTGCTGCTGTTTAATCTGTTGCTCTTCCTGCTGCTGTGGCTGCTGCTGTGGCTGCTGGTGTTGCTGTTGCTGTTGCTGCTGCTGCTGCTGTTGCTGCTGCTGCTGCTGCTGCTGCTGCTGCTGGTGTTGTTGATGTTGATGATGATGCCGTTTATGATAATGATACTGTTGCTGTTCCTGCTGTTGCTGTTGCTGTTGCTGTTGCTGCTGGCGATGGTCGTGATGGTGATTGTGGTGATTTTGCTCTTCCACGAATTGCGTTGACTCGGTTATATCCTGATGGGATCTTGGACTAGAGTTCGAGGTTCGTTTGTCCGATAATAGGGCGGCCTGACTATTAAAAGGGCTGACGTTGGTGAGGAGAGTCGCGTTCGAGGCGCAGTCCTGTACCAAACTTGAGCTCGCTGTTGACGAGCGGACAATTGACGGAACTCGTGTGTAATACTTTGGCAAGATGACTCGATCCTGAAAGCAAATTTCATTTATTGTTAATACATTTTCCTGATGCCTGAAAATTTCAATATCAATGATGGCGTGATATAGGCATTAAATCTAAATAGGTCGTACTAAAATGTGTTCTCGGTAATGTGGAATTGCTATTGAAGTGTTAGTATATTCATACAATTTCAATAACTAAATAAAATGTGAAATAATAATACGAAATAATAGATAACAAAAAATTGTTAGGACAATATATGATAAATAATTTCGTTCTTTTAAATTATAATAGCCGAACAGAACTGGATACTATTGTAATATTAAAGAATTATCATATATTTAAAATTGTTCTTGATGATAAAAACAATTGTCTTCTAGTAATTGACGCTAAATGTCATAAATTATAAAATAAGAGCAATAAACGTTGTTTAAGGCATAATCATAACGAAATAGAATGAATGAAATAATCACCCCCTTTTTTATTAGTTTCTCAATACAAAACTTGCAGGTTCCAAACGTATTAAAAAAAAAATTTAATATGTAATACTTGAACAAGTGAAAAACACAATTTAATAATATATTTATCGCAAAAATATTCCAAACAAGTGTGCGCGTCTCACATATTATGTCGGATTAAATTCTATGTAATAGATTATTAGATTTTATTATTATTTTCATCAGTTGATTTTACTTATAAACTACCTTATATAATTTTATAATTTATCAAGTTACATGTCGACAAATGTTTTCTAAATATACTTTACACACTTCTATGGTGGATATTGAATCGACTTTTATCGTACCACGATTAACATTATATTTAACGCTTCTTTCCTTGGTTTTTAATTATTTTTTAGTATTAATGATACATATTTATTTTCAAATTTATATACAAGTGATAATATTAATACATCTTGAGAAATTATGACACATACTCAAAGCTTTTAAAAAATAATTAAATCTAAGAAATTATTTTTCAAGATAAAATATACACCGTATATTATAAATAATTTATTTATCATTATATAATTTATTATTATAAATAATATGTTATAAATAGTAAAAATTATTGCAAATAATATTCAAAAAAATTTATCATGATGTGGAATTTTTCAAAATACGATAAACTATTAAAAAAAATTTTTAACTAAAATATTTACTAACAAATTATTATGAAAATGGCAAATATTTGAGAAATGTTTTTAATTTATATTTATAAACATATTATAATGATGATCAAATCTATTTATATATTACAATTAAATATATTTGACAACGTAATGATTCATAATTCATGGAAAGAATGAACAGTCTATTTCTCTAGACGTTTTGTCTTCGCTATCGCGGTGCTTGCATTATCGCATCTAGTCTCTGTTCTTGCTTTTTTTAATAATGACAATAATTACCAAGTTTGCAAGCTGATCGTCAAGAAATATTATGCAAAATAATTCAATCTCAGCAAAAGAAAAAAGGCTTTTTTAACGCTAAAATTTAAATACTACGTAAAATTCCAATAAAAAGATATAAAATAGTGCAAAGTTAAAAAGCAAACCTTATAAATGTAAATCTTTCAATGAAATGGTCTGAGATGCTTTTAAATATAAACTTCAATAAGAAAACAAAATAAAGTACCAAAAAAAAATCACTTCCTTAAACTTCAACGGCGCAAGTCCACTTTTTCATGTAGAATCGTTAGAGGTGAACAATATAGTGAAGACACTCGGACGTTTAAGGGGATAAAAGCCAAAAGTTTAACTATTTATATGAGTGGGACTATCAGTTTTACAATGTTGGAACGATCAAGAAACTTTGAGCCAATAAGAGAAAAGGGAACGGGAATTTTATCCCCGACCTCTCTGATAACCTTTCTCAACTTTGCGCCACTATAAAGACTTGCAAATGTATAACTTAATACAAGAAACTAATTAATTTAAGAAAATTAATATCTTTTTATATATATGTAAATATTACGTCATATGTTTAGTTTAAATTAGGAGAAAAAAATTTTTTTTTATCAATACAACCTAGTATAAAGCTAAACTAATAAATTTCAATGCATTTATTATTATATTATACTTAGTGATATTATTTTTTTACATTACAACTGAGTTAAAAATCATAGAGAATATTATGTAATAGTTCAATATAAACTTTATATAATGCAATGTAATTATTTAATATAATTTACAATTATATTCATTAGTAATTTAAAAAATGTATTTTCTAATACTACATGAACTGTGTGAATACTTATGAATTTGGTATAAATATTGATTGTAATTTGTAAATACCGATTTCTATTATTTTATAAATTCTTATTACAGTTAGGCCGGATTTAAAAAATTTTAAAGTATGACATCTTTGTAGAATATAATAAGAATAATATAAAATAAATGTTATATGATTTATAATTATGATATATAATAATTTTTAAGAAAAAGTGAAACCAATTTAAATAAAATTAAGATTCTTGAAAACACGTAGGCATTAGATTTTCGAATATATAACTATTAGTTGGTGTGTTAAAATTGTTTTATCAGGTCAATGATCCTTAATTATGTTTAAAGTCTGAGTAATGAATATGTGTATCAATACTTGTGTACAAAACTACCTATACAATAACACAATTATATAATTTTTTCCTACAATTATATATATATATATATATATATATAAATATATATATATATGATAGTAGAAAAAATGAATATAAAAAAGTACGAGGAAGAAATATCACATGTGATCGTGAGTTATTTCCCTTACGAATAAACTAATGACCTTCGAAGACTCTAAATTGTGTCATCTCGAACATTAGAAAATTAAAAACAAAATAAACTCTTGTATTTTACGGTTGAAATAAAAAAAGAATACTGGCTATGAAATATATAATTACCCCTTAAAAATATCATTATTAATTACTACTTTAGATTATAAATACATATTAAGCCAATAACAAATAAATGTAAAAAATTCCGTTCTAAGAAATGCATTATAAACTCATTCATCTTATTCTAGTAAATAATATTTCAAATCAAATTCAATTGTTTTATCTATATAACTACAATCAATTTGTTATAATGTTGCAACATTGTTAAATTGTTACTCTGCTTATTGATGTCGAACGAAACGTCATCAAGTATATCATAATAAGTTTTCATTCACAATTAAACTAAGCATTACATTTTTTCATTTTACCTACGTATATTATATAAATTTTTTCATGAATAAATTAAGAAACATTGACCGCAATTAATTTATCCACATTGTTTCATGACACCATATAATCTTAATTACTCCTACTACAGATTAAATCTGTCGTCGGTTAATTTTAATTCAAATTAATTGTAATAATAGCAAAAACCATAATAATCTGTTATAAGGTAATTCATTTTTACATACATCCGAATATTTTTCCTTTCGCTCAATACGGAATTTCGCACACAAATTCGTTTCTTTACGTATATATGCATATATTTATGTATGCATATATGCATCATCGAATAAAACAATATTGTTATATTGATAAAATTTAGTATAAAGAATAGAATTAGATAAGTAAATTGATGCTTATTTGGCAATTCATTTGCTCGGACATTCAGTGATTTTATTTATTTATATGAATACGTACAAATTTGAATTTATACAGATATTTTAAATGAAGAAATTTTTTTAGAATGTTCAAGGCTTTAATGAAATATTATGGTTAAGATAAAATGTTCACATTACAGATATCACATACACGTAATTACATAGTTACCATACATCAGCAGAAGGCTATTATGAAGTTATTTAAATAAATTATCTATTCATTATAAAAATATTAAAAAATTTTATTCACATAAATCTAATACCTGCTTAACCGAAATTTATGAAATTGACAGAGTATAAATCAATCCAGACGGATCTTAATATATTTTAATATTTCATAGTAATTACATAAGTAATAATTATTTTAAGCTAAATTATTTTAACTGTGTAACTGAATTTTAGTTGACTAAAGGTTTCATAAATAAGCGATTCATAACAAAGTTTCATAAAAATGAGAAAAACGTAGGAGGAAAATTTTACTATTAAAAGAATGCAGAACATAAAAAAGTACACTTAAAATAAAGTAATCACAATTATGCACTGAATTTTATAAACATCACAATTTTTATCCACCTAACTGTCACGCTTGTTACCGTTTATGTGTGAGATTATTAGATTGTATCGAGGAGAAAATTATCTTAATTAAGATGCCAAGCCATTTTAAAGCAGTTCTTACGCCAAAGGCATTATCGGAAAATAATTTATAGTACTACGGTCCAAATACGAATGTCATAACATTAACGGCTGACCTTGGCAGCTCCCGAAATATGAAAACGATTACTATCCGATGAGCGAGCAAGAGAATTTGATAAGAGAACAAAAATATATATGCTCGCGTAAATTGAATGGAGTCTCTCCTCGGCTCGGATAAGAAAGAGGAAGCAGCCAAGGAAGCCTCGCCTCCTGAATCAGAGCAACACTCCTATAGTGTGAGTACGCGAGTAGCCATGCGATAGGCGCCTCATTGTCCGCTCTACGCGGAATTTCAGTAACTTCTTCGACTTTTCATTTTTCTCGTGACTAATTGTGCTCGATGATTTTCCAATACATTTCCATTTGCCACTTATTTGTACGCTCTAGTCTTTGAAATTCATTATACCTTTATCAGCAGTGTAGCATTATTTGTAATTGAATTTCTAAAGCTGTTTGCATACGCGCTGATTAAGATCGTTTACTTAATACTCGAAGTCTCGGTAGATAAGATTTTGAAGAATTTTATACTTATTTATTTAATAGTTTAATCATAATTTACACGATGAACGATAATTAATATTGTCAATATTATCAATAAAAGTCATGATTTTCGAAAAATTTATCATTAATTGGTGCATTAATTGGTGCTTTAATAGTGGATAAATTGTCATGTGTCGGGTGGGATATTTCATTTTACCTTTACATACAGAGCGATTAATTTAAATAGAAATTTATTCATTAAATCA